TCTTATCCTTTTTCTGCCTCTCGCTGTCTTTCTCTCATAGCCAAGGAGCCTCATTGCAAACCTCTTGGCAGGTCCCTCTACACTGGCCTCTGTTCATTTTGGCAGGGACGGTTCTCTGACCAATCACGCAGCAGCTGGCATAAGTGATGGAGCATCTGCCTTGCGCTCCCTTTCCCCAATCAGCAGCAGTCTGCACCTGAGAGGTAGTTTGAGTGCAGCTCACAGGACTGCTGGTCACACTTCAGCCATGAGCAAGGCAATGGCAGGCTCTGGGTAAGAAAATACTCCTTCTGAAATATGCCTCAACTCAATTCCTTTTCAGGCCACATCTTTCTGTCCAACACTAAATACTCTCTGAGCTACTGTCTTTCGCTACCATTTTACTTTGTATCCCCATGCCTTTCTCTTTCTGTCCTCATTTTCTCCACATTCTTGCTCTCTCCTCCTGTAGGACTGATGCCCGAACTGTGAGCTCGGGCAGCAGTGCATGGGAGGGTCAACTCACCAGTTTGGTCCTATCAGAGTACGCCTCCACTGAGATGAGCATCCATGCACTTTACATGCATGAGGTAAGTGTGTCTATGCACACATGCGAGCTGTGGCCTTGTCATTATGAAAATCTTACAGATCTTCTCCATCTTGGGTCCCATGCGTAATACCTCCAACTGTATCTATATTTTTTTGTCTTGTAGCTTCATAAACAGCAGTCTCGTGGCGAGGTGTCTCGTCACACCTGGCACAGGCAGGAGAGTGATGAAAGCAGTGATAGCATCCCTGATGAAGTGAGGAGCCATCCCAATCCTCATTCTAGAAATTTCCCCCGCTCACATACTTTCCCCACCACAGTTCCCAGTCCTAGTGCCATTCCCACTTCAGCTTCAGCAACCAGCAGTGCCACCGTGGGCCATCAGGGGGCATCATCACAGGGCAGCAGCCATCGGCGCCATAGTGGACCTACCACAGGTATCCACATTGTGGTTATCTCTCCATTTTTCACATCACATGCATTTAAATGAATGGTTATTTAATGATCCTTTGGACAGCATCAGAATAATTTCCACCTATGGTTCTTTTCATATATTATCTAATATAATATTTTTAACATTACCTATCTCTTATTGCTTTGGAAGATTATTGCACTAAATTCTTACTTTTCTGATTCTGTCACAGAGGTTTTTCACACCTTCCAGCACCATTATTTCTATGAATGAAAACACATTGGTAGAAAATTTGTGTAGATAGATAGATAGATACTTTATTTCGTGATGACGTATATATTAGAAAGAGATGTAGGACCAGTTTAGGACAAGAAATACTGATGTAGTGTACAAATCATTCTCAATCCTGGTGTAAAAGTGAGTGGCTGAGTTTGGCTCAGTAGAAGATCTATAGAGCTTTCAGAGTATTTCATTATTTGTAAACCAACTGAGAACACAGCTGTGCTGGTGCTATAGAGATCAGTGCTAATTGCTGACACCTTTCAACCACACTGTCTGTTTTCCAGACTGTTTTGGTGCAGGGTGGAAGGTAGTGAGGTCTGCCCGTGTGCCCATGGGAGGTTGGGCAGAGGAGGACCAGGCAGCACCACGACAGCACGAGCCGCTACCAGAGGAGAGCTCAGAGGACGAAATGCCTCCTCACATACACAAGGTGATTGCAGTTTGTGTGTGACTGGGATGGTGTTGTTAATCTGCTTGTGTTCACTGCAACTAAACAGATGTTTTTTTTATTTCTTTTTAGGTTACATAATCAAGTCATGTGAATAAGTATCAGCACCCTACCTTCCATAGATAACCACCACAAACACACACCCTCACCCTTGACCAAACCTTTCTCCAGGATTGGCCATCTGATCAGACACAGATGAAGATGGAAATGTGAAAAGTGTACCAAGATCCCTACAAATACGCAAGTAGTAAAACCATCTGGACAAGTTTAGATTGATTTATGAGAACCATGACTTACTAAATGACTTCCAACATGCCTAAATAGGCACACAGGGTAAATCTCTGAACTTGTGTATCAGAAGAGGACCTAAAGGATCAAGTTCTTTCCAATAGCCATTGGTACCGTCAGATTACACTACACTTTTTTATAATGTCTAAGGATTACAAAATGAAAGTGCATGTGTTGCTGCGATGTAACATAAATTGTGAACACTCAGCACTGCTGCCATAGAAAAATACAGAACAATTTGAACAAACTATGATCACAATAGTCCAAATTGTGCTCTTTTCACAATCAGATGGTGTGAGAAGTGAAATCTGAAGAATGTATTGTGTCTCTATAACAATAACAACATTCAAAATGTTGGTTACATACAGACTTTCATTGTGTATATCTGTTCTTGTACCAGTAGCAAAAGGCTGTGCATCGTGCGCTGTGCTCTGTTTCAGCTTGTATTCTGCCTCTTCGCAAAAAATATTAAGGCCTCAAACAGTATAATATTCAGTTGATATTTTTCAATTACATATTTTACTCCTTAGAGTTTTTTGGTTTTTTTTTAAATTTCATTCTGGATTCATTAAATTTCAAAGTTCAAGTGAATTTTCTAAAATGTTCTGAAACTTTTCCTGAAGTTTGGCTCTGTTTGCACAGATAGATGCTAATTTTAAAGATAGATTGTACAAAGAAGCCTGGTATTGTGCATGCGCACATGCACTATGTACATAAATGTTATCAGGTCAAGTAGCCTGCAGCCATACAGAATACTGAATACATCACTTTAACACAGTTGTAGGGTATTTTATATAATCAGAGATGTTGAATGCAAACACATTTTAATCTGATTTCACCCAGGTTTTTACTGTTTACCATTCATTATTTTACAACAGACTAGCTAAAAGGTGCGGCAGACAAATAAGGCTGTTAAGCATGTAATATTGACTTCTGTGCCATACAAGAAGCCCCCAATCACAAGTGCATGACTGTCATCCACTCATCTTCTAAAAAGTTGTAACTAGATCACCCCACAGCAAAAATACTGACCATCCTCCATGTCCTGCTTAACCACAGCATGATTTTCCTCTGTTCCTCTATCATTAAGCCGCAATTCTTTAAAAGAATTATGCACTTTAAAAATTTGTTGATGCAGAGGGCGTCACTTATCTTGGATTGTTTGTATGTTTTCATATATATATTTTTTAATTATTTTATTTATCAAAAGGGATGTGCCATGATGATTGACAGTTGTGAATCAAGGTTGTGTTTTCTGTTGTGCATTTTGATCAGGATAAAAAGCTCTGTCACACTGCTGGACTGATAATATGGTCTAGGATGCAGTGATCCAGTGTGGTAAAGTTAGATTAAAAGTGATTACTGTTGTTTTTTGTTTGTTGTTTTATAGATCCTGTAAAATACCATTTTGTACAGCTGTAATTTCATCCATTAAAGACAAATGGTAAATGGACTGCACTTATATAACTTTTCTTCTCTTATCAACCACTCAAAGCGCTTTACACTGCAAGTCACATACACCCATTCACTCACACATTTATTCAGCGTATTTCTATGCATAACGCGATTTTTCTCTATCACACACACTCACACACTGATGATACATCGGGGACATTTTGGGGTTCAGTACAGTCAATATGTGGACTGGAGAAAACGGGGATCGAACCGACGACCTTCTGATTAGTTCATATCTAAAGACTGAAAAAACAACTAGCGAATGTTGAGAGGCTTAATGATGATGAACCCCCTAATTAATATTTGGCTAATGACTGACTGATCGACTACTATTGTACCACAAAGTCGCTTTAGCGTTACGTTACATTTTCCGTCTGAATATGTCTTGAAGGTGATGTTGCCAAGGACTAACGGCTAACTTGTTAGCTGTTAGCAGCTAAACCGTTAGCTGATAGCAGCTAAGCCGTTAGCTGTTAGCAGCTAAACCGTTAGCTGTTAACGACTTATCCCCTTAGTATACGGCTATCTTGTTAATTTTGCTAGCTACGTAATGTTTGTTGTTAACGGTTATGAACCAGAAAAATTATCATGATCATGTTATATTCTTATTCTGTGTCGTATTATTTCATTGTCAGAGCCCGGATAGCTCAGTCGGTAGAGCATCAGACTTTTAATCTGAGGGTCCAGGGTTCAAGTCCCTGTTCGGGCGATAATGTTTTTCTCTTTTTTGTCACATCTCTAACTGTTCTTTTGAAGCATCTGTCTTCTGTCTTTTTGTTATTACTGTGTCAAAACTCTTCAAAGTCGGGATCTACTGATTTGACAAGCTAGTGGAACCGTTATACATGACCTAACGATATATATCAGCGATGGTTCATTTAGACTTGCGTTAACTACTACACTTGTAAATGTTTTGGCTAAGTTATAATGTATTGGATGGAAGGTGTTAGTCAAGGTTTACGTTTATCATTGAATCATCACTTTTATCACAAATTATATAAATAAATGTCCCTCAAAATATAATTCTAAATACCAAGAAAATGTAAAAAGTTAATGGTATTCATGTAGCTACTGCAAACAGAATTTACCGATGGGGATAGCTCAGGATAGCTAGCTAACTTTAGCTACGTTTTTGCCTAGCCTACTTCAAGTGGATGTGTTTTACAAAAGAATTGACCACTTACAAACATAAAAAATAAAGTTTAAGTTTGATCAGCAGTAGTGTACATCCACTGGATTATTATTTGTCATTCATATGAACATTTTGAAAAATCTCAAGGATAATAGTAACTTTTACATTAGATCCAACTATTTGTAAATGTGCAATGTGTGTGCCTCTGAATTTTTTTGTACTTTTTAGGCTGGAGTTATTGTCATGACCAGTGTTGTGCAGCCAGGGCTTCTTCAAAAACTTTTATGCATTTAAATTAAGAGACAACAGGGGACTTTCAGAGAGAAATCTGAGTTCAGTAAAGACATAAACACACAAACATCAAATGTGTTTGTTAGCATGTGTGTGTGTGTATATATATAATCCTCTATGTGTGTCTATATAAGAACTTAAAGTATACAGGTGCTGTTAGGGATGCTTACACGTTGAGAGGTGGAAGTGTAATAGGTGCTGATACATGGTGTAAGGAGGATAGGTGCCCCCCTGCTTGTCCTGCTGGGACAGATGACACGCCTGGTAACCATGTAGGGTAGCTGATGGGAGGCAGCTGAGGTCCTGCAGGGGTAGGACCATAGTGATGATGATGATGGACAGCATTTCCCCTTGGTTTGACATCTTGCCTTACAAAAATAGGGGTTCCCTGGTAACTGTCCTGGAAATACAGATTTGGGACTTTGTTGCAAGACAAAGATTACAGTTTTGTAAAGAGTGGCGACTTTGTGCTTTGACTCTATGTGTCAGAAAGTGTCTGTGTGTTTACCTGTCCAAAATGAGTGGAACAGTGACTGGACCCCCCGAGTGGCGAGAAGGCCATAGGAGGCATGGCTTTCAGCATCATGTTGTGCATTATAATCTGGTGCATCTGGGCATTTTGCATCAGCATCAGTTCCACCATGTCTAATATTCAAATTACACATACAAACATGAATACAGGGAGACCGAAATAAGATATATATTTATTTGCTGTTACATACCCTCCTTGATGCTGCCTGAACGTGGTGCAGGGTATGGGTGAGGTGGGGGAATCTGAGCAATCAGAGGCTGCTGTGGTGGCAGCTGTTGTATGATGGTGGCAGGCTGCTGGGGTAGCTGAAGAGAGAAATGAAAAAAGGGGAAATGATTAGTTCTTTTACATATTTAATTTGCACTATTCTTGGCCTCATTGCACATCAATCTGGATTGCAGCGTCAGTGATAAATATCTAATATGAAAGGAAATTGATGAACAAAAATAGAAAAAGGGAATAGGAAAAGAATATTAAATGCTTTCAACAAGCCACATAGAAGCAGAGTAACAGATCTGTGGGATTGGAGATGTTTTTGAGAATTAATGTCAATTGTCTCACAGTCTGTTGAACGATGCGTGGAGGTGGTGGAGGTGGCAGGAAGGGCAGAACAGGAGCTGGGTGGTGGATGTGGGTGGGTACCATGGTTGGGAGTGGTGGAGGGGCAGCGACAAATTGTGACTGGTGGTGTCTTTGGGGACCTCCCCAGGTGTGAGGTCTGCTGAGATCTTCTAGCATGTGCTGCTCCTACACAGAAATTGACATTGTGACAAGTGAAACAATAAATACTGAAAACACTGGTCAAATTTCTTCTGTTTTTCTCTTGCATTGATTTTTATGGTCTTCATCTCTCTTAAAGTAGGTAAATAATATGTGACTAAATAAAAATGTATAGAAGATAAAGATTTTGTACTGACCCTCAGTCTTTGCAGCAGGTCCTGCTTTCGCCTTAGTGCACGGTGCAGTGCATCCATCTGCCCATCATAACTCCCTGAGCACAGAAAATCATGTTTTCACAAACTAACCCTGTAACTTTTTACTGTCCCCCATGTTTACGACCTCAACTTGCTCAGTCAATACAGTTCCATATCATATCAGTTTACTACCAGGTTAAGTTTATAACTACGTGACATCTTGGGAAGTCATTCTTCGTTTCAGCTAAACATGTATAACTGAGATATGGCAATACCATCCACAGCTTGAAAGGCTTCATCACAAACAATTCTTTGATATCTTACTTGCAGACTGGGCAGACTCTGCTCTGTCGTCCATATTGTGCTTTTTGTTTTCCAGTCTCTAGGAATGTAAGTCAAGAATGTTACTTGAAGATTATGATGTGTAATTTTTTCAAAAAAGGAGACAAAAAAGGTCTAGCTAAACTATTTTACATGAGAATCCTTGAGAGGAAAAATTACCAAAGTAAATGAAGATCAAACTACAGCGTTCTATAAACTGTAGACTAACTTCACCTACCTTCTCCAGTAGTTTGAGTTGGAGTCTTGTCATCTGATCAACCATGGAGCTGCCATCCTAAATATACCAATAATTGGTTGAAATACTAGACACAAACATACAGATGTGCATGTATATGCTTTTAATACCTAATTAACCTGAAATCTTGGCATTTGGAGTCACACAAACTGTGTTCACCTGTGTGTTTGAGTCAAAACTAAAGCCGCACAGTGGTTGCCATGGGGCATACCTGTTTACCACTATGACTTGCATACCTGCATGGTTTCTATGCTGAGATAGAGAAGAGGGAGGCAGTCTTTCGACATCAAATACCATTACTCAGTACCCAAAATGCACTTATTCTGGAAACAAATAGAATTACCCTGCTTGGATCCAATTTCATCTGGAAATATAGATAGATAGATAGATAGATAGATAGATAGATGTATTCGTTAAAGGTAACCTACAAATAACAGGATTACAGGATGACAGGATTACACTTATTGTTATGGTTTGAATAAATGTAACATGAATGGTGATCTTTTGACCCACTTTTATAAGATATACTTCACTGTCATTTAGTTCCAGTAGTGTATATAAAAAGTGTTTTAGGCATTTTAGATGTTTAGATTCTTATCCATCCTTATCCAGTACCATCAGATCCCAAATTCATTCTGCTGCATGACATCAACCCCAGACATACAGCCAGAGTCATAAAGAAATATCTTCAGGGTCAAGAGGAATAAAAAGTCCTGCAACAGATGGTATAGTCCCCAAAGAGCCCTGATCTCAACATCATGGAATCAGTCTGGGATCACATGAAGAGACGTTAAAAACTGTATTCAGATGTACCTTGTACTAGAACTGTTGTAAATGGCAATGGATAAGTTAGGGGTTAGTTTTTTTCTGTTTACTGCACTTTGTATAAAGTAAATTAATAAATAAAAACTATTCATGGCATTATTTTTGAAAGCATCCTCCCTTTGTACAGTGCCGTACGTTGCTCTATTGCCATAGAAACTCCGCAGCAAGTGAGGGACTGGGCATTCACTTTCAAAACAGAAATGAACAGAGGCATGTTTTGTATTCGCCTGCACTGATTGGCTACAACAGCCGTCAATCCAACATTGGCTACTACGAGGTGGTTTATTGGTGCTGCAGGAATATGTTTAACCGAGGCAAATACCATTGGCTAAAGACGTGGACTGAAATGATTTGATTCGTCCGTTCATTCAAGGAAACTCGATAAGGGCGGAGTTGAAATGTCTTGGCGGCCATATTGAATATTATCTGTTGACAGTTGTGTCTACGATAGCTGAAATATTTTGTTTTAGCTAACTTATGCTAGACGTTGTGCTTTTCAACTGAATTAGGACATCTGTCCTAAACTTTTAATGCCTTTGTTTAAACCAAGAGATGGACGAAGATGAACGTCAGAGGAAACTAGAAGCAGGGAGAGCTAAGGTTTGTTGCCAACATTTAACGCACGCTAATACGGAATGCTAGCAGTTAGCTAACTCTTTTGTCATAGCACTGCGTTTGTCCACAGCTAACTACACCCACCTCCACATTTTATTACGTTTGATTTATTTTATCGTTGCTTGGATTCCAATTATCCGTTAAATTTCGGGTACTGGCAACTTTACTCATTTGCCGCGCACATGTGGCGGGTTGAACATTAGCAGAGCTTGCACATAGCTAACGATAACAATAACATTTATGGAGTAGATAATCGGCTAATGAACTGAATCACTTCACATACACTTCGAGTCCAGCACGGATAGAATGAGGCACTTACAGAGTCGAGGGAGATTATTTCTAACCTGTAAAATGAATACTTTAAAAACATTTAAGATATTGCCTGTGTCAAGGCAAAGAGCAGGTGCAGCCCCTGTTTTTGTTGTTTTTTTAAAATAATATTTTGGCACATGGTTAGAGTAACTTCCATACAGAACTGCCCATTGTTGCATTTCAGCATCATAAGCTTTGTGTATCACTATATACAATCACAATTTCAGCAGCCATTGTAACTTTCGCCAACATCCAGAAACATGTTATAGTTATAAAATGTTCCCAGTATAAGGGGTCTATAAGTTTAACATGGGTATAGCTCTGTCTCAAGCCTTGAAAACAATAAAATTTAGATTCCTAATGTTAGTAGTTAGATTATTTTATTATATTTTATTCTAGTTACACTCCTTTTAGCTCTCTACAGCTGTCTGAGAGCCAAGAGATAGTATAGTAGAGTATTCCAAATGGTATTTTTTCACCATTCTGTGAAATGTATTACTGTGGTGCTGCCAAAATTGGGAAAAAAGCAAGCAGCTGTTTTACTTCAATGGAAGACCATATTAGTAATGAATCAATAACCAAGAATTACTCTCTATGGATAACCAGGCCACGTTGTCTAAAATCTAGGTTCAAAACTAGGTCACCTTCCAAAGAGATAGACCATCTCGTGATGGGATCACACCAGTAAAGATGCCTGTCAAAATGTTGACGTTATGAGCAATGAATACTCAGTACTTATTATTACATTATTGCATGAGTAAATAAGTAAAGTTTTGTGACTGCATCTTGCACAGTTGTGACATTATTGCTCAAAATCACCTCTTTGACAGTTCCCGCTACAGTAGATGTGTCCATGACCACAATATGTCAAGATGACACACATACACATGCACACAGACTCACCAAGTCAATATCATATCGTCCCTGCCATAGTGGCTGGTAGTGAAGATGATAAATTACTATATTGCATGATGCTAATAAAACAACGCAACTGAACCACTGATATTCCTTATGACAGAAATCTTCCAACATGCCACGAAACCAGTCAGTAAGTATAGAAATTGGTGACTGGCGGGGACATTTGACTTTGTTTATGGGATTATTGGTTTGTGGACATTGTGATTTCACCCTTCTTGTTTTTCTTTCTCTTGACTGGGCAATCAGGGCTTTCTTATGCTTTTCTGCACTATGATAAAGAATGATGCAAAATACAGATTTTCAATTTTCTAAACCTGAAAGTAAATCTGCATTGCCTTCATAATTTGACTGTCTAATATACAGTAGCTGCACACCTTGCATACTCTGTCATGCTGGTTTGCGGCCATCAGGTGGTGCAGTGAGCCCATGAGATTTGGTAAGGTTAGATATGTTGCTCTTGCATCTTGCATGAATGGTGTTGCCATGGTAATGCAGTGCTGTCACTTGCCTTTACTGTATTTGGCGCATGAAAAGCTCTGATTTCTCTGCCTCAATGAAAGCATAGCATATATGTATAAAACATGCATACAGACAAGCAGAAATGTAAACAAAGAATCTGTTCCCATTAGAAACAGCAGCATGGCCTCACCCTGTCTTAGTACTGACATTGTTGCAACACAATAGCAGTATTCAGTTCAGTGACATCTGACCACAGTAAGATCCAGCCTGCTGGTTAGTCAGACTTTCAGTGGTGCGGAAGCAGCCTTGGGCTAAACACAGTTCATCTCGCTGATGTGTCTTTTGAAGATGTGATGTGCGTTGTGGCAGGCGGAGGTGGTGAATAGGGTGATGGAAGGACACAAAGGGTGGGGTTTTAGGTGAGTAAGAGAGCAGATGAATGACGTGAATTGGGAAAAGATTTAATTGTGGAGGAGCTGAGGGAATGAGTTTAAAAAGAAAAAGCTTTAACCTGGTTTCAGGAGTCAAATTAGGAAGGTGGTATTGTGGTGGATGCATTGCACGGCACTAAATGGGAGTACAAAGTAAAACCTTAGATATGGTTTTATGACCAGGCATGTAACATGTCAATAGAACAAATACTGGTGCACATGCACACACAATGTTTTCGTGCACATGTATGTGACTCATCACACAAAGCAACAAGTAGCTCTCCTGAGGACATGTAATCTCAAATTGAATTGAGCATGCACACTCTGATGCTGCTTGCCACACACAGAGCTCTGTCTCCTCCTCTCCATGTGAGTACATCTCCCAGTCTCCACCCTCTTCCCTTAGCCTAGACACATGCCATCCACTCTCCAGAGTTTGTGGAGCCCTCTGCTCTGTGCGTTGGCTGTGGCAGTGGGTTTTAGGATAAGAGGCTGGGTCCAATGTGCTGTTGCCTACAGACTAAGATCTACAACTGGACAATAGAGCAGCTGACATGATGAGGAAGAATTGAGAGGTCTGAGCACCAGCAAGAAAGGGAGCCGTTGACTGACTGTCAGTTATTGATGGAGGGCTTGATGAGGGTCTCTGTCACAATGTGAACTGCTGTAATCTGATTTAAGCTGCTTAAAGAAGAGGGAGACAGGCTGAGAGAGAGAGAGAGACAGAGAGAGAGACAGCGATAAAAAGAGGAGGAGTGTGTTGCAAAGAGAAACAGCCTGAGGTGGATTTGTACCAAATCGGTCTCTCTGGAATTCAAGCTCAATATCCTGGCTTGATTGGGGATGATGTTTTTCACTGTGAATGAACTTCACAGGCTTAAACTCTTGATATTTTTGTCCTTTCATGACTTCAGAGAAGACTCTGTGTTGCTACAAAAAGCTCCAGTATACCTGTCTTCTTTGCTCTGATTTTGATTTTCCTACAAGCTGAAAAATACGAAGTGACTGAGATGGATTTCTTTTTCATTTCTTTAACCTTGCTCTGTTTCTGGTCTGCCGAGAGGTTGTCCAATATGTGTCTCTAAAATCTGTATTTCTCATGGGCTTGGAATTGCTATCTGGAGATCTGAGCATATTTAGTGTCATCACCTCATTTTGAACTTGTCGGGTTATGGTGTACTCTATTTTGGGTATGAGTTTGGGATTTCTTCTTGTTTCTTTGGGCACTGTCTTTTTTGCTGCACAACTCTGACTCATCAAAATAAGGGCTTCCAATCTTTTTTTCATTTCTACAATGGGGACTATCAACTACTTATATGCGTATTTATATTTTGCTTAATGATTTCAGAATGATGTTTTGAATACTTTTTCTTTTTTCAAATGAGGACATACATCTGGACTCTAGTTCTTTCTCACCTTTGACCGCTGAGTTTCACCATGCTGATAGTGTGGTGGTGCTCAGTGGTTCTGACCTATGTATCCATCTACCTCTCGCTGTCCTTCCTGCGCAGCTTGCTAGCTTCAGACAGAAACGGGCGAAAAGCGTCAGTGCGGGGGCGCCGAAAAAGACGCAGAAGAGGAAGGGCCAGACTGTCACGCAGAATGACAGCTCAACGCAAGACTGTCACGTAGAACCAGCACCTCCATCAGCCAGTGACACAGAGTTGAACAGCAAGACCAACCATGAGGTACTTCACACTATATAGAGATTATCAGTACATCAATAATGCAGTTTGTGGAGGAGACTGAAGAAATCTGATTTGAAACTGTAGGTTTAATTTAAACAGCCAGATAGATTTGTCACACAATTGCTTGACTGCATGACTTCACTCTGGGTTACACCACCTGATCTCCACAATTTGTCTAATTTTGTTTGCTCACTCTATGCGCAAACAAGTGGTCCGTGCCCCCTGTTCGATAAACATACATTAGAGAAATGGGTCACTAACCATCATGTTGCCTGTAGGGCATGTTGTCATAGCAACCTGGCCAGGATTAACTGTGGCACTGTTTACTGCCTTTTTAAAGGGAAAGTTCACCCACAAAATCAGATACAGTAAGTGCATGTTTGTGGCACATGGACTACATTGACTTTTTTTGCATTAGTATCAGGCAAGGTAGTTAATATCACACTTATTTAACATATTTACATTAACTTAATTCTTCAGGAACCCCAAAAGCCAGAAAAATCAGAGGTTCAGCAGAACCAGAGACAGAAGGATCAGCCCACCATCCTGGAGCAATGCCCGTCCCCTGTGGAAGAGTTGAGAGACGAGGAGCTACTTGCACTAACTGGCAAAGAACAACTCAAGGTATACACAGTCGGTGATTTAACATTTACATAGGATATCAAACTCTACTGCATTTTTAGGATAAAATGTCATTTTTCATAGTGTATGTTATAGCATCTGACTTAAACACTGTTTTTTTTGTTTGGATTAATTTAGAAATTGTATGTCCTCTAAGTCACTTACTGGTTTTATTTTGGAGTTGCTGTTAAAGACTGAACTGAGCTTGTGTACAACTAAACAAGACTAGCAAAAGGGAAGATGGGTGTGATGTGATGAATGCATACTTAGCATTAAAATCCTAGGCTCTAAATTCACACGGTGGAAACTGGTCCCTTAAACTGATTTTATAAATCAGTGTTCCTGTTTACATACCATGTTGTAGTGTATTTAGATGTGTTTGGACACACGGATTGATTTATTTTCATGCTTTGTTAACCTGCCAAGACAATGGAAGTCTTGTATTGCTGCAGGTACTATTGAAGACGGTTTGTGTATTTCTGTGTCTGTGTCATCATCAGGCCATGGGGAATGTAACTGTCTCCTCTTCTGCATGGCTGCTTGGCTGCACCGATCTGAATGTGCAGCATATTTCATCTATAATATGAATGTCAGTGTGTAGAGGAATAAGGTTAAACAGGCTGTCCTCAGGTTGTAAAATGGCCTTAAATAGGATTTACTATAGTGTCACAAAGTGTTTCACATATTGCAGTAGTTTTAAAAGCCTTAAAAAGTGATGTTTTATTTATATTTTATTTCAGTTAGGAAGTTGGCCCTATATGTTCAAGTAGTCGGTGGTTCAGTACTTTCTGGCTAGCAACACAGGAAAGAATTAGTTTGAATTGGCCTATTTTTCATTATTTCATCTTAGGACTGCTTAAAGGTTTGAATTGCTTTACATACTCAAAGTGTGCTGCGCTTCACCTTAGGAAGGTGTGTGTATGTATGATTGTGTGTATGGATATAAAATTTACCCATAATTTATACTTACAGCAGTTACAGGAGGCTGTGGAGAAGCGTAATGAGATAATTGCCAAGCTCAGCTCCAACCTGCAGGAGGCCTTGGCCAGCAGAGACCAGGTGCAGCTGGAGGCACAGTCACTTGCTGGACAGATTCAGGCGCTACAGAGACAGCTCCAACAGGTTAGTGCCACTGAAAGCTAAATCTGTGGAAGGATATCAGGATAATTGGTGCCTAAAAACATGCACTTCACAATTCATATGCACAACAACTGAAACTGGATATTGTCTGAATTGTCTTTTACACAGACCAGTGCAGATTTTCTGCGCATCAAAAGTCAGTCAGGAGCTGAAGGCCTTAACATTCATCAACAGCAACCTCAGCATGGCCACTGCTCCCAAGATGCAGACCTCAGTTATAAGGAGGCACCATCAGAGGGATCAGGAAGTGGAGGACCTGCCTTTCATTCAAGTGTTGAAGTCTTCAGCACTGACGGTGACACTGAGACTGACGGTGTTCTGCACAAACTGAGGGCTGAGCTGGAAGAAGAAAGGGAGAACAGCCAACGCTTAAGTGCTGAACTAGCGGAGGAGATGGAGAAACACCAACATGTGCTTTCTTTACTGGAGAAGGAGAAGAAAAGAAATGAAGAGGAAGGAAAAGAAAGGGAGGCACAGCTGCAAGACCTCCAGACCCAGTGCCTTGAGATGCAGCAGTACAAAGAGGAGAAGGAGAAACTAAACAGAGAAGTGCTTGAGCTGAGGAAAAGGCTTCATGAGGAAGAAGATGCAGAGAGGAGATTTAATGAAGAGGTGGCCACATCTGCCCTTCGTCTCAAGAGCCTTGAGGAGGAAAGACAGACACAGGAAGAGGAGATGAAGAGGCTCAAAGAGGAGCATAGGGAGGAAGTGGAGAGAGTCAGGCAGGTGTTGGAGGAAAGAGAGAAAGAACTGATGTTTAGGGAGGAGGAGTTTATGGGACTCAAAGCTTCTAAGAATTGGCAGAACAAAGCAAAAGCTGGTGTTAGCTGCGATGAAAGTATTTGTTTAGATGAGGCCAATCTGGAAAGTGGACCTGATCAGGACAGTATGAATGTATCAATACCTGGGGACATTATGATGGAGAGATACTTGTCTTCAGCTCCCCTTGCACACTCTCGGTCTTCATTAGTCAATGAAAGCTTCGAACACTGCAGCCAGCTGGACATCTCTGCAGACCACAGGTTAGAGGACTTCTATTGTAATTGGTCTATATGTGTGTTGCAGAATCTATTTTCATCTTGCATGCCTCATATTTCAGTAGGTTTCATCACTTGAGTTTGTTTTCTAGCCTAGTTAAATCCCCTAATTTATCTGTGCCTCTCTTCATAGTTTTGAGCTGAACAGTGAAGTGCTGGGAGATGAGCCTCTGTTGTCAATTTCAAACCGCCACCTCGACGAAAACGACAACCTCCATGATAATTCCAATCCTCAGTCTCTGTCTCAGTGGCTTCACAACTCCACTTCTGAAGATCTGGATATGAGTAAACTGTCCGAGCAGCAGTTTGAGGAGACAGATCTGGAGAAGGAGCTGCTTAATCAGCAGTGTGGGGAGCTCCATGAGGAGCTGGCTCTCAAGGACAGGGACTTGAATGTATTAAGGGAGGAAGTCTTGAGGAGTGCAGAAGAGCTGGAGGAGGCCAGGAGCAGGTAAGGAATTTGATTAGGGCATGTGGTGATTTAGTTGATGATTTCCAGATCACTGCATGTTTTATCGTATTATACATGTATTACTTCTCTGCGCTCTTACTTGCAAAAGAAACATTCAGTTATTTAAATAATAACCTCATGTTGGTACTACATTAAATATACAAGTACCAAATAAACATTTGGATAAATAAAGTATATCATGTATTCAGGTGGGCTCAAGTAACAGAGGAGCTCAGACAAGCTCTCTGGGAACTTGAAGAGGAAAAGGAGAAACGGAGACATGTTGAGGACGAGATGAACTTGAAAGCCCATGAACAAGACAACCTGAAGAACAAGCTTAGTGCCTTAATGGAAGAAAGAGAAAATGAGAATGCAGTAATGTTGATGGGCGAGGAAGCTACTGGAACTCTCCTGCTCGTCCCTGATAACTTTCTATCAGAGGAGGAAGATAAACTGGCAGGGGAGCTTAAGAAGGAGCAGGAGAAGGAGGCTGCACTCCCGTCTCATCAAAAACAGCAGGAGCTGCTCGTATCGTCTCTGCAGGAGATGAAGCAGAGTGCAGACTCTGCGAGACAGAGCCCAGAGCCCAGAGATGACAACCAGCTGCAAACACTACAGGTATACCAGTATAATAAGTGTGTTTGTGTTAACAGCTTAATAAGAATATAAACATGCCAGTCAGGGCATGCAGTTTTTTTTTAACCCATCTTGATTTGGATGGATGGAAATAGTATTATATAGCAGCATTAATATGTTTGTGCTAAAAGGCTTCAAAGGGAGGAGGCAAGAAAAATGAATATAATGTACAGAAAGCTAAAAGAATGTCCCTTTCTTTCTGTCACTAGGCCCATTGTGACCATCTCATGTCAGAGCTAGAGGAGACAAAAACAAAGCTTAAAGCTGCCTTATTAAGTCAAAGCACCATCAAGCTGGATGAAACATTAAAGGAGCTTGAAGCTACACATGCACAGGTTCTGAATATCCAAACAGAGGTGGAGAGACTGCAGAAAGAGCTGGAGAAGAGCCACGCCAGTCTGGACAGTGCAGAGAAAGAGAGGAATGAACTGGAAACTCAGATCTTCTGCCTGAGACAAAACCTGGCCAACCTGGAGGAGGCTCAGGCCCAGGCAGTGCATGAGAAGGAGGAGCACAAGAGAAAAGAAGAGGAGATGGATGAGAGGATTAAAATAACAGAACAAGTCTTAGAGGAGGAACTTGAACAGTTTGAGAACTTGCTAAAAGCCAAGGATGTTGAGGTGAGACAGGATGATGTGCAGCTGATTTATTTTGCACAGATTCCAGCAAGGAAATCTGTTTGAATTACTACTGTCCAAAGATTAAGATGATGTACAAAATGATTGTTACAGTTGGCTGAAGAGAAGGAGAAATGGGAGGAAGAGAGGCAGGAGAAGGAGAAGGAGCTCCTTGATGTGAGGCATCTCATGGAGGAGCAGAGGAGGGAGAGGGAAGAGGAGGTTAAGTCTCTCCTGGAGAAGCAGGTCCTAGCTGTGGAGGAGGTTGGAGAGAAGCTCAAGACATCTCACCAACAGGAGATAAATGACCTGATGGAGAAACATAAACAAGAGGTGGGATTTACAACGTGCACAAATTTTACAGACCGTCAGTTTTAAAGATCTATGATAGTGTTCATCTCTAAGAAGTTAAATATAAATATTTGTATTTATTTAACTCCAAGGACCCATATTTATTCTTGTGCCACCCTGAAATTGCCTCACATTTCTTATATATTTGCATGTATTATATGTTAATATATATAACCTAGAACAGTGCATATATATACTGTATTTAGTGTTGCTGAAACTCATATTGACCATATTCTGTTAAAGTTAACAGAACTTAACAAAAAGTGATCTGTTTTTGCTGCTTTTTTTTATGATTTTTTTTAAACTATGAGCTGCCACACCAACCTGAAATAGGTACAGATTCAGTTGAAGTACTTTTCAACATTCATCATTAAAATATATAAAGTTTCCTCATTTCCTTGATATGTTTATTTGCATAGATTTCTGACTTGAACACCCACGTGGAGACGGAGCTGCTGAAGCGGCAGGCCAGTATGGAGGAAGAACAAAAGGGACAAATCAGCTTAATCAAACAGGTATCAGATACGGGAGGTTTCACTTTTGTGTTCTTTTTGAAATGCTTTCCCAGGAGTATTTAGACTTATTCACTTTAAGTTACTTATCCTTTTCCATGCTTGTACCATTTTTATCTCTCATCCTGTTCCTTCCCCCCAGGTGACTGAACGTGAGCATGAGCGGATGGTGTCCGAGCTGACTGTCAAACACACTGAGGAGCTTAGTCAATTGAAGACAGAGCTGTCCCTGGAGCTGAGAGAGAGCATGGAGGCTGCCCACCAGGCTGAACTGCAGCAGTCACAGGTATACTATATATACACACAAGCACAGTGGAACATCTTCAGCCACAGCATGCAGCGCAATAACACTTATAGCTGTCTTCCTCCCTTACATAACCATTTCATAGTGAAGTTTTATGGTTTTAGGAGTCATTAATACTGGTATTTTGGCACTTTGGAGATTTTGAAATTTAATCTTATTCCTGTTAATCTTATTTGCACAAGTTATCAATAACTATGGAAGAAAATGGTGTAAGATTAAAATCTAAATGTAATGTATAACCTTCATTTCCCCCCAACATGCAATCACTGTTACACTGAGGAAAAGCTCTGACACAAACCACACCTTATGCTTTCATTTCCTTTAGGCCCAAAAGGCCCTCGAGCTTGAAGCCCTGCGTCTGAGCTTGACCAACGTCCACATGTCCCAGCTGGAGCGCTCCCAGGTAAACCAGGAGCAGCTGGAAAGACTGCGTGAGCTGCACCAACAAGGCATGGGTGAGTCCAGACTGCAGTGCTTTTCAGTTGTTGTGTCAGTGTTCTTTTTCATGTTTGCCTTTGGGTGCACTCAACATGTGCGCCATTATGGATGTAGGTGAGTCACCCTTATTCTTTAGAAGCTTGTTCTGTGATTAACATTTGTAACCTTCAAATTCTTTGAAACTCTTTGTGTGTGTCTGTGTCTATGTTCAGATGAGTTGAAGCAGCAGTGGGAGATTCGTGTTGCTCAGGAGAGAGCGAGCATGGAGGAAACACAGACCAAAGAGATACAGGTAAAAACTGTCATACATATGTTGCATTTGACAACTACATTTTTGTTATTTTAATCGATAAATTTTTTTATAATAATTGTTCAATTTCTTTTGCATATTTTACCAGTCTTTTAGTTTTATTGAAATTGATATTTCAGATTATCATGCTCTCTTTTCTTTTTTCTTTTCTTTCTGTTTTTTTCTTTCTTTTTTTTTTTTAGGCTCTAAAGTTACAGTGGGAGAAGGAGGCTGAGAGCACCCGGTCAAATCTCCACACATCTCTCTCAGAGACCCAGGACAGCCTCTCTGCCACCCAGACAGAACTCGCCAGCACCCAGGCCTCCCTCGCCCAGATCAACAAAGCTCTATCTGAAGCCCAGGCAGCTCTGTCACAGACCCAGTCAGAGCTGCGGGAGTCACAGGCCAGGCTGGAGGAACTCCAGACCTCCAGTAAAGAGGAGAACCAAAAACTAGAAGAGGAGCTGAAACAAGCCTGGGCTGACAGAGATGCTGCTGCTTGTGAGTTGCATTCTTCCATTAAGGCTGCGGAATCCTCTAAACTCACAATTTTAATAATGAAAACTGCAAATAGTTTTATTTAAATCTTTATTTTATACATTAAATTATATATTTGTATGTGTAATCATGCTAACAGGCTAATGGGGGAGGCATGATTTTTTGAGAATATCTAATTTCTGTAAGCAAATATTTTTTATTTGCAAGATTATGGTCAATTAAATTTTGAATAGTTTGTATTTTATGTTCTAATTTTTAAAAATTGTGAATCCTGTGCTTCTGGTGTTGTGAATGCTGATCAGGTTCTCTGGAGGAGTTGGTTTCTAGTCATAAGGAAGTGCTGCAGGAGAAAGAGCAGAAAGTACTACACCTAGAGGAGAAGGAGAAGCAACTGCAGCAAGAGGTCAGTTCACCGGAACACATGAACATTTAGTCAGGTTGTTATTTATTTCTCATTTCAGGTCACAGACCCCTGCATTAATAAAAGGATCTTCACAATTTTTATGAATGTTTTTGTATTATTTTATATATATGTTATAGACATTACACTAATTTAGCTAGTATTAGTCTATAAAAACAATAGGAAACACACATCGTTTGTTGTTATTTTTAGAATGGTGTTTTTTCTCTGTCAAACAGGTTGTGCGCTTACAGGAGGAGAAGACTTTGCTGAAACAGAGCTCAGAACAGGAAGTAGGTCAGCTGTGGATCCAACTGGAGAGCATGAGGGCTAGTCGACAAGAGTTGGGAGGTGAGATTGATGAAATCTCCTTAACTAATACTTTATTTTCATCTACTGTAGTTATTTAAATACACTTAAGTTATTCAAAACTTACCAAGTAGAAAGTGTTTAAAACATGTTAGTAGTTAACAATGGCTGTCTTTGATGTGATGATGCAGAGGAAGAGGAAACTTGAACAACTTTACTCTCAAACATCAGTTGCGTTTGTGTATGACCATCTACTGTGTTCTTCTGTTCTGTCTTTTGCTAACTTATTGTCTCACAGAGCTGAAGGAGCAGCTGCTCGCTCGCTCGTCTCGTGTTGATGACATCGAACGCCTGAAGACAGAGTTTAATGAACAAAAACGAGGAATCAAAGAGCAGAATGAGGCTGAGCTGGAAAGCTTGAGGAGGTATGTGAGCACACACAGTCTTTTATGCATTTATTCTTACTGAAGTCTTTAGTGTACATTAGCTAATGTTCAAAATGTGATGTTTGGAATAGAAACAGATTCAAACTCTTTATCACAGATGTGGTTTGCAATGCATGCAATGTATTGGCCACAGTTTACAGGATTGTCAGCTATCTGTCAATTTTCCTATTTTTTTTCCTTTTACTGACCCAAGTCAAATTACACATGCATTACCTTCATCCTCCTTCAGGTACTTTGAGCAGCGGTTGCGTGTGACAGAGGAGAGCCACAGAGAGGAAATTGCTCTGCTTCAGCTAAGACTGGTAGAAGGTGCTTTGGAGGAATCTGTGCTTAAAACCACAAATGACAGGTATGCCTCTCGGCCTATATCAGGACTAGTTACTTGTATTGAAATCTTGCATAAAGTTCTGCGAATAACACTGGTGCCTATGGTCTCTCTATCACAGTTCCATTTTTCAAGATGAAGCTGAAGAGGAAAAAGATGTTCTTTCTGGTACCAGCCTCAATCTTGAACAACACAAGGTAAAAGTGCACATATACTGTATGTGAGCAAATTAATAGCACAAGACATTTTAAAGATCGGCTGTTGTCAGATAAATGTCTGGTGTAGAGTTGTTTGAAACGTTTAAGCTACTGTCCAAGTTGCTTAATAAAATTTTTCGCTAATCTCTCTAGCTTATGTTGTAGTGGAGTAAAGTTTTCTGCACATTTCAGCCACATTACTTTGGGGATCTTAATTACACTGTATTTTAAGGTATTGTGTTTTGTCTCATCCAGGAGTTGCTTGACAGTTTGCGCCTTCAGCTGGAGGAGAAACACTCAGTGGAGCTTGCCAACCTACGATCCTCCTTGGCTCTTTCATTCAAGGAAGAGGTGATGCAGGTCAGACACAGACTCAGTCCTTCAACCTTTAATGTCTCTGAGAAAACCGTATAAGAAGCTAATGTGAGAGGTTGTTGGAACACGGTACCTTACTCTCTAATTTACTTACATTTTATGTTGTTATTGTGCATTAGGTGCGCTCAGACCTCACAGACCATTACTATGAAGAGCTGCAGGAGATGAAGACTCGTCATGCTTTGGAGCTAGAGCAACTCAAAGCCAAACTTTCTGACAGTCACTTACGAGGTACGTCACGCATAATAAAAACATTTGCAGATTTGTTGTGAGATGATGCTAAAGCTCAACAAAAACAACCTTATAAATATCTTTGTCATAGAGCTTACCAGAGTCCGTTTGGAGGCTGCAAGGCAGGTTGAGGTAAGAAAAGATAATCAATAATGTATACAGCAAACTACACACTTTTATGAATCATATAATAATTGGGATTTTAATTAGGTGGAGGTCGAACAGAGACTGTGGTGTCACACTGAGGAGCTGCAGACAAGGATGACCATCATCCACACCCTGGAGAACAGACTGGCTGCCATGAGTGAACAGCATGATTCAGAAATGCAGAAGAGCACACAGAAGGTACATACACTTACACAAGCCTGCATAATAGAAAGGTATCGTACACAGTTAAAAAAAAAAAAAAAAATGGGTCGGAATATACTGATAGTAATTTAAAAACACAGATTGAATTTATACAATATGCAAATCTCAAACCATGCTACTCAACATGTTCTCTTCAACTCCTACAGTTGAAACAGGAGTTTGCTGGGGAGCTCGTTTGTCTTGAGGCAGCTCTGAAACAAGAGAGGGAGCGTGTGCAGGAAGAGATGAAGAGGTTGAGAGAAGAGCTCCAAGAGAAACATGAAGCTGAGATATCTGTCCTGAGGTCAGATCTTGTCCGGGAGACTGAGAAAGAGCGGACACATCTTGAAAAAGCACTTCATGAGGAGAAGGAGAAGTTAAAGTCTCTACAGGCTGCACTGGACAACAATGACAGTAAGATCATTTTTGAACAAATCATTTAGGTTGTCAGTAGAATGTCAGTGAATTATAACTTTCAGTCAGATCAGAAGTTTTGGAAATTGAACAAATTTAAGTAGTGGTTCTCTATGAGTTCCTAACATGTTGCATTTGTATATAGGCCCACAGGTCCTAATCGTGAGGCAGAGACTGGAGGCCCAGTATGACAGTGAGCTGCAAAAGGCAAAGAGCTACATGGCAACAGAAATCAAGGAGCTCACTGCTCTCCTCAAGGGGCAGGGTGAAGAGCGGCTACATCAAGCTCAAGAGAGGTGAGATCTGTCTGAGATTAAGACCCTAAAGTCTTGATTGAAACTTGATGTCGAGGGGTTTGTCAAAGGTTAGACCGTATACAACCCTGAATCATGTCTGTAATGCTATATTAAGCAAGTTTCTTTGCTTATCTAAGATCTAAGGAAATGCAGATAGGTAATTAGGGCTGCAGCTACTGATTGTTTGTGTTATTGATGTAATGTTTTAGCTAAAACAAATTTCTATCTTGATTTATTATATAAAATTTAAAGATGTATGTAAATATAAAGTGACATCTTTCAGCTTTGACTGTTGGTCACAAAAACAACCAATTCAAACATGTTCACTTAAAAAAAAAAAAAGAAAAAAAAGAAAGAAGAAAAAAAGTCCAATATATCCATTGTTTTTAATAACCTTGGGTGCTGTTTTTGTCGGTGCATTCAGGTTCCAAGAGGAAAAAGCAGTGTTGGAGCAGCATTTGGTCCAGAAATATGAAATCTCTCTGGCAGAGCTAAAGAACAACCGTCAAACTGAGCTGGAACATGAGAGGGCAACACTACTCAAGAAACACTCCCAAGAGATGGACACACTCAATGCCAAATACAAAGCACAGCTAGATTCACTCAGTGCCAGTCACAGAGATCAGCTTGCAGCTATTGCTGCTGATCTTGAATCCAAACACAATGCTGAGATTGTTGCCTTGGAGGCGGCCCTCAATTCCAAACAAAACGCAGACCTTGAAAGTCTGGAGGTCGTGTTTCAGGAGACCAATCAGGCTCAGCTGGAGGCTCTAGAAGCTGAGTTAACTCGCAAACACCAGGAAGAGAGCGATGAATTGGAAAAGCGGATGCTGGGTAATATGGACACTTTGGAGGCCACATACCTGAAGGAAGTACAAGTAAGAAGACGCTCATAGAAAGTGAAACATGATGTCAAGCCTTATCTGGACAATGCTTGAATAGCCTTAAACAGGTTATAGGTTAATATTTCCTCCAGCCACCTGTAGGCAGTTATGGTAGTTCTGAAATGTTTTTGTAACTGATTGCAGGCTGTTGAGAGATTTTATACTTCCATAAACTAAAGTGGGATTGTCAGAACAGTGGTTTGTGCAGTAGGAGGCGCAGCACCACTAGACCTGTGGCAAACACTGCCACTGCTGTTAGCTACAGTAGCAAGGAAGCTCATTGTGCTGGTTGTGCTGACTTAATTAACTGTATCATTAGGAGTTATTGTTATTCTCTGGGGAGTTACTGAAAAAATTTGATATAATGATCAATTATATGAGGAAATATTGTCCCTACTGGGGTTCCATCATACTTTCATACGCAAGTATGAAAATATGATGTATGATTGTATTTTTTATGTATTTTAAATGTCATAAATTTAACTTGGTGAACCCTGCAGTTTCTCAGTTTGAAGGGCATTAACGTACTTACAAGGCTACTGTCTTCTCAATCTCAGACACTGCGGGATGAAAAGTTGCAGCTTGAAGAGAGGCACCGTCAAGATCTGAATCGCCAGAAGTCAGAACATAGACAGATAATTGAGCGCCATGCTGCAGAAGAGCTGTCCATCAGGGAGGAACTGAGGAAAGAACTGGCTCAGGTACACATGGAGAAGTTTAGTGCCATGGCAGCAGAGCTCAGCCACATTCACAAGGTGAGAAATAAAAATGGGTGGTGGACCTCTGGCTAACATTTTATCAATTCAATTATTATTCATTCAGTAAACAAAAATACAGGTAATTTACAACCTCTGCTGTTTTTCCTGATTTTCTCTTACAGACTGAGCTGGCTGTTCAAAAAGATGCCTTAGATACTGAACACTGCAAAGCCCTGGAGACCCTCAAGAAGCAGGTACTTACCCAGTCATCCGTACATTACTTTGTTTTCCTAATCTCTTAAATTGCCCAAATTTTAACTGTCTTCTCTTGAAGGACACTGGTTATAAAATTAGTGCAACCTGAGCATATATAATTGCTCAGCATCTTCATGTTGACATAAATGGTAAATATGGATTTTTCTGTAATTTGTAACTGAAGCAAAAATTCAGTGTCCTTTTCTGTACTTTTGAAGGTTTTGGAGCTTGAGCAACAACACAGCACTGCTCTCCAGGAGCTCTCTTGTACCTACAGTGCTGAGAAAGAGCAACTCATCAGGCAGCACAAACTCCAGCTCCAGGTGTGCAATGCATGATAGAGCATCACATTGTATGTGTGTGTCTGTGTGAGTGAGAGAGAGACAGTGAATCTGTCATCTACAGGGTGAATAAAGATCCCATGCTCTGCCTTGCTAGTTGCTTTTAATGGTTGTCACTAGAGTTCTTGTCTCTGTCGCTCTTACAGCCCATTAGTGGAGGGATTACACAGAGATATTATTCATCCTTTTATAATGGCGTATTTGTGTGTGGAGGCACTGAGTATTTATTTGGATTTTTTCTGAGAAGCTTTGAATGTAAGCATTTGACCAACTGCCGGCATAGCCTGTTATTAAACACATACATGTCCTACTGTAGGAATTAAGGGGTGTCTCTGCAAGGGAATTGGAGGCATGTCGCAGGGAGCTTGAAGAGGAGTCATCAAGGCAACGTCAGCACTTCCTAGAGGAGGTGGAGCTCCTCAAAGTCCAATCAGAGGAGAGACTGCAGGATAGGATAAATCAACTGAAGGTAAAGGAAATGCTTGAGAGGAAAAGATGACTTTGGTTAGTTTTGATTAAGATCTTTGAAATTAAACATTTTTTGGCATATAATGTAATCAATTCATTATATGTCGGCAAATATCATAAAGGTCTTTCCAAACCTTTATTTCGTTTTATTTTAAGTTGTGTATTTATTTGAATGTGAGTGCTTGTTTGAAACATCATTATGTAATATCTGTGGATTATTGAGAGCTGTAGTGTGTGTTGTGGCACTGCCCCGTCTAAGCTCCAGCTGCACCAGTTCACTCCTAGGGATAGTTCTTTCTCTTGGATTCTGTCCCACTGGAGCTTTATTCAAACCCAGTTTCCACATAATCCACCATCATATATGTAGAAGTGTTCTTGTCCGTCTGTCTCTCCGCTCTCTGAATCTGTGCTCTGCTGGTTCATGCGTGCGTTGTTGTTGCTGCCATCTGAATGGTGGCTAAATGGGATGGATCTAAGCTTTTTATCCTCTGATGCAGAAGGTTTTAAGGCTGAATGTACTTTTTTTTCCCCAGATATTTAGCATTTGACCATCTGAAATGTGAAGCCAGTAGTCTGCTATAAGCCAGTAAGACAAAGCCAGAGATCTTTTTGTAGCTGGGAAACAAATAAACCTACAGTAGACTGCATCTTTTAATTCATGAATCCACATTACTGCTTTCTTTGAAGACGGAGTTTGAAGAGCAGAAGGAGGCGGAGCTTGAGAACCTGAGGCGGTGCTTCACTTCTGAACAAGAGAAGAAGGAGCAGAGCTACACAGGCAAAATGAGCCAACTTACTGCCCAGCTGCAGCAGCTTGATGCTGTGGTGGCCCAGGTACTGGATACACACTTGCATAAAAAAATTCACTAACCAATCTAGTATTTTTACAGTTTATATATATATATAATGTTCTTAATGCAAAATAAAAGCTTGAATAGGATGACTCCTGCAGCTTCTCTTTGCTAGGGGCAAGACTAGACAGGCCTGAGAAAAATGTGTTGTATTATGGATATTGTAGTTCAAAGGACAATCTTAAGGAGGTGAATGAGAAAATACAATGAAATGGAAAGTGGATATCATCAGAAAATAGAAGATCTGGGAATTAAGAGAGAGAACAATATTGGTGCTAAAGCATGGCCTCCATAGGCTGGATTTTCCTCTCTCCACTACATCAGATTACATCTTGTTAAAGGCATCATATCAATGAATCTACTAATCTGGTGTGTATATGTTTGTGTGTTGTGCATTCACACTCTGGTGATTGAAGCAGGCAGAAGGGCTGAAGCGATTAGTTGATTAATCAATCAATGGAAAAATATTTCATTTTCTTTCAAAATTGCCAAAGGATTTCCTAATTCTAGCTTCTGAAAGCTACAATGATTTGCAGCTTTTGTTCATTTTATGGGATAGTAAACTGAATATCATTTTTGTTTTGTCTGATCAACAGTTGAAAATCCAGACATTTGAAGACATGAGTTTGGGCTTCAGTGAATTGTAATGGATTTTTTCGCTATTTTCTGATAACTTACAGACGAAGATTAATTAGAGACGGTCCAATTAAAAGATGGTATAAAAAATTGTTTGTTTCAGCCGTGGCAAAGAAGTGAAATACAGACTTCAGATGGATGGGGTCATTGGAGCAAAGCCTCGCTGGTTTTGTTTGTTGTGGAGATTTGAAGCTTTTGGAGCAAATCTGCATTCATTTGTTGTTGTGGAGATTTGAAGCATGCTGCGACATTTCAGTCGGTCATTTACTTGGATCATCCTAGTTAGTACCAAATTATTGCTATGCTCTTTAAAGCTTGTTTATTTCTAAAACATTTTGACTCACTTCATAAATGTCTGATTTCTGCATTCCCGTGCCCTTGTTCTGCTTCTGCTAATTCTGTAAATTTATAAAAAATCTGCATAAATACGATGTATGTATACATTTGTTTCCATGGCACCTGCACGGTTTGGCTTTTTATAGTGAGATATTAACACACACACCCCTTGGGGTTAGCAAAGAGACGCTTGGAGAGTTTGGGAGGGTACTGTTGTCAGGGCAACAGCATTGTTTTGTTGAGGCAGGTGGCTGCATGAGACATGTTTGATAGGAGAGGGAGGGAAAAAGAGGGGGAAGACATGGTGAAAGGACAAGGAGAGAATGGACTGCCTGAGGAAGGAAAGGTAAGAAAAATTAGCACAGATATGGAAGAAAACTCTACAGAGAGAGAGTGCAGTAATGTGCCAAGGATGCCTGATGGTTATAGTTGGGGTGTGTGTGTATGAGTTAGGCTGGTTTCAAATGAGTATTTTCTCTTACTGTAGATATATTACTACAGATATAGATCTGACTGTTAACATTTGGTTTTGATTCCCAGTGGTCCCCTTATGTATGCAGAACAGACCTTCTGCTTTTGTCATGCTGGCTCTGCTGGGATGTTGTTGACCAGGTGGTTTTGTTATTTCTGTTGTTACCAAGACTTGAAGTTGTCATTTGATTCATTGGGGGTTGAACCTCTTTCCATGTCTAGTTTCACTCTGTTACCTCTTTCTGAGATTCAGTTGCACACATTGGTATGTCTTTTAAACAAGTCTTAGCACAGGTGGGAAAGGGGCAGTCCATAGGTTATTGTTTTTTAGAATTGACAACCTTTGTGTGTCCATTTTCCCAGCTGCGAGCAGAGGTTGGCTGTCTGCAGGGAGAGTTAGAAGGGAAGCGTGCAGAAATGGAGACCCTGGACACCCTCCTTCAACGAAGGGAACGAGAAAGTCAGGAGGGAGGCAACCTTCTAAAGATGCTCACTGATGACTTGCAGACTGCCAAAGAGGAAAGGTACATGATGTTTTTGGTGTCCTTTTTAAGCAAAAAAAAAAAAAAAATTTCTATCCTTGCAACTTTTGCTGGTATGTCAGTTCTCCTCATGTCATAAAAAGCATTCATTGCATTTTACTGAAAATAAGCTTGAAATAAACTGGTTAAACGTATCTACAAAACACACACGGGTGGTTGTATGTTTTATTGTTTTTTCAAACATTTCTTATCATGTACCTGGAGACAACTTGCCAGTTTGACAAATGGAGCAAAAGATGGCTCGGCGTATGTGTGTCTGATGTGTTACTTCTGTTCCAGACGTAAACTGCATAAGGCCAACGAAAAGCTGGGTAAGGTGCTGATTGAGATGCTTCGCAGCACTGTTGCAACAGAGGAGCTGATTGGCCAAAAGATCAGTGCCAGAACCAAAACATCTCAGCAGGCGACTCATCAGAGGAGCTCATCAGGGATGAAAGATCCACAAGAGTCAGGTCTGTTAGCATCTGATTCACTCTGAAGTTACATGGCATGTTACTTTGGTCTCACGGGAGGTTTTTGTTAGAGGTACAGTTATGACTTAAATAGTAAGATTCAGTTTGTCATAGACCAAGAGGCCAATATTTGTATCGATGCAACAAATATTTTTGACTTTTTCTCATAGGTATCTCAGTTGCAGACTTGTCATCAGAGGACCTGGAGCTAACCCAGCGGCTCTGTGAGAGCCTGCTGGTTTCAGATACTCAGATCAATCCTGGAGGAGAAGAAGCAGCTCTGAATGCCTGCAGCAGACTGCGACACACAGTAGACACACTACTGGAGCTGCTCAACCAGGCCAACACACAGGTAACGGATGTTTAGACCCAACGATACTTCCAGATGTGTTTCTCAACAATGCACACAAAAACCTTCTTTCAAATATCTTTTATTCGGTTTTATAAAGTGCTACCTGTCTAAAAATCGTGGGTTTCTCCCCTTTTCTTCAGCTGGAGCAGACTCATGATGTCCACATTTCTCTGGAGGAAAGGTTCTCTCAGGGCAGAGAAGACTCCGCCCAGCTTCTTGAGCAGCACAAGCTCTTATTGGAACAGCTCGATCAGGAGGCGAAGCTGAAGAATCAGCTCCAGCTGGAGCTCCACAAAGCAGAGGGTGAGAACTGTATCCTCATTGGCTTTGCTTCACTTGACTCGTCTTATGCTGCCAAGTTACAGTAGTTAATCCACTGACTGTTGACACGCCTTTCTCTTCTGCCTATGCTCCAATTTCACCCCTTGCACTGAAGTTTAAACACAATTCAGCTATTTGTTATGCTAAGCACAAGAATCTGAAGCATATTATGTCTTTCTTTTTTCTTCTCATATAACCTCTTTGCATTTGCTTCATGTATTTAGGGCTTCTAGAGGGCTACGTGGCTGAGAAAGTGGTCCTAGAGGAGTCTCTGCAGCAGAAGGAGGCCCAAGAGGAGAGACTAGTGGAGGAGCTGGAGGACCTGAAGGTGAAGCTGCACCAGATGCAGAGCCTCACCGGAGAGCTGGACAGCCTCAGAATGAAGCATCAGGAGCTCAGTGAGGAGCACACAATTCTCCTGCGTCAGAAGGAGCATCTCTCCGCTGGTCTGGGGGAGAGGGAGAAAGGTGAGTGGAGGAGGCACAAACTCATGAAATCTAGTGTGTCTGTATTAAGTGTTACGCGACCTCTTTAGTGAGCTTGACCATACACTTATGTAATGTCTGTGCTCAGATGTGTCTTCTCTCCGTAGGCCATTGGCTCAATTTAGCTCCTGACGCAGGTTTGTGGGTCAGAGTGGAGTATGTGTGTGATGGGGGGGGTGGGAGATGAATATGCAGTATATTTGCAGTGCTGTGTGAGGTTGCCGTTTGTAACTCTGTCATCGCCAGTAGTTTTTAGCAAAGGCTCTTGGAGTGCTGTGTTATTTGTTATTTTTACCTCTTAAAGAATGTTTTAGATCAGAGCTGTTGAGGAGAATGCATTCAGTGTTTTTTCAGGAGGAAAATCACAGTATGTTTAATAGTTGTATTACTTAACTCCTTATCTCTTGCCTGCTTTTAAAATCCTTCTGCATACATGTTTTTACTTTGAAAGCATTGCCCTAACCATCCTCTCTCATTCTTGAAGCTCTACTAGCAGAGACAGAGCGTTTGACCCAGGACAGGCTGGACTTGCAGCGGCAGGCAGAGAAGGACCACGGCTCTCTGTCTCAGCGCCTCAGGGCCCTGGAGAGAGAGCTGGAAGAGCAGGAAACAAAGGGCCTGGAGACAGAGCTGCACCACAAGACCCACACTGAAGACCTTAACCAGCGTGTCCAAGCACTGGAGAAACAGCTGAAACACGACCGCCAGTTCATAGAGGTGACTTTTTACATTGAAATAACATGATCGTTTAAAAAAACAAACAAAAAAACCCAACTTATTTCTGTATTTAAAATGTAATTCTTCATACATCTGCTCTTTCAGTTTCCCCTTTCGTTTTTGCGGTTGTCTGATCACTGCATACACTCACTTAACATTCTTCCTAGTGTTATTTAAGAGTGGAATGGACAATCTCTCCTGTTATTGCTTAATGTAGTGGACACCATCTTACACATGGTTCTTCCCTATACATACAGGAGCAAGCTGTGGAGCGCGAACATGAGAGAGACGAGTTCCAACAGGAGATCCGAAGGCTGGAGGTCCAACTCAGACAGACTGCCAGTGTGGATAACAAAGGACACAGGGTGAGGCCCATTAACTGTAGAATTGTACATATACAGCTTAAGGGTGAAGCTTTATGTTTAGCAACCACATTATAAATTTTACCATCACTGAGCTCCATTTTGTGACCTCATTACCGCATACATTAACTCCGTGGTTCAGTCACATAGTATTCCTCATGCAAGGCTAGTAATCCGACAGATTTATATGAAGCAATGTTCGGGGAGGTCACAAATAGGGCCGAGTCTCACTTTGAGATTGGTGTTTATTTTGACATAGAAAACCATAAAGCAGCATAATAACATCTTTAACAGAGCAGTATTGCAAAAATATATTTCTCTTTCTAGATATTGACAGGTACTAAAAGTGTGAGGCATTTGCAGTGAGTTTGATTTTTGACATGTTTGATGTGATGAGTGCCTTCATGTTTTGCTGATGGCTTTATTTATGGGCTACCTGAAGAATACATAGTACTACTTACAGAGGTTGACGTGATGAATGTATTGTTTGTTTGCTAATGAGCCTGACTTTTACCATGTGTTTACCCCTGTGCTGAACGGATTGCTGTAGTTTGAGGACTTGGTTCTGCAGGTATGAAATCTAACTGTAGCCTACTTCTCTTACCACCTCTTACTCTTGTGCATGGTGTGCATTGTACATCATTACTTTAGTGCAACCATCCATAGATAAATCGTACTGCTTTATGTGCTTCCTGTACGTTTTTCATTCATTCCCCTTTCATCATCCATTCGCTAATATTCATTTGCTTCAGTTTTGCTCTCCATTTGTCTCTCACCTCCATGTCACTGCTCTCTGGAATGGCTTAATTTCAGTGTTCGGTACCAGTGGCTGTTGATCCGGAATGGCTTATTCAATTAAAAATCATGCAGTTTTCCATTTGCAAATTCTTTTTTTCCGACTTAAAAATCTCAAAACTTGTTATCCAAAATGTTGTCCCCTGTATGTCTCTGCAGGTGGAAAGTCTACAAGCTGTCATCAAAGACAAGATGGAGGACCATGCCTCCTTGCTCGCAGCCAATCAGCAGGCCCAGCGCGACCTTGCAGAACGCAACGAGGAGATAGACAAGCTAGCCGGGAGAATCAGAGAGCTAGAGCAAGCACTGCTTAACAGCGCTGAGAGTAATAGGTCTACCAGTCAACTTGAACAAGAGCTTCAGAGAGTGAAGTTGAGAGAACAGGAGCTCACACAAGTAAGAACAAATGCACACTTTCAGTTTAGGTCTAGTGTCGGTGTTAGTGCACACCTTCACTTTTTTTCTCTAGAATTTACGTCTTATTTTTTTCTGTCTGTCAGGATAAGCAGGCACTGGAGCAGCAGCAGCTGTCTAACAGGCTTCAGATCTCCGCTCTCCAGTCCAAACTGGATGAGACGAGGCACTGTTACCATGACAACACGCGTGACCCCACTCAGGAGCTTAGGGATGCCCTGGACACTGCTCAGCAAAGCCTCCAGAGCAAAGAGCAAGAGGTCTGTAAGATTTTATGCAAAGCTGGTGTAATGTAGCCAAGATGATTATGGCTGATAAGTGGTTTTTGACTTGCGCATTTGGTTGTAGTGCCAACCTTTGGTACAAATGCAGATGAGTATTCAGATCCATCTTGTAAAACCACCACTAGGATAAGAGATCTCTGAAAGCTCAATATTTTTAACCTAGTACAGAAAACTATGTTGCAATTATAGAATTTTGAAAATTGAAATTTAATTTTTTTTCAATAAATAATGTCTTTCAGGCTGAGGTCCTGCTTGGTCAACTGGAGAATGTGCAGAGAGACTTGAACATCAAAGAGGTTGAACTAAAACACCTCACACTACAGCTGGAGCTTCTGACCAATCAGAATGCAGCTCATGTTAATGAGCTCCAGGAACAGATTGCTGCACTGAAGGCAAGAGCTACTTCACACAACATGATGTATATTTCTCCCTCTCAGACGATTCAATATGTCTCAATCCGTAATAATGGAAATAGAATATTAATAAGTGTGATTAAGTAAATAAATTGTTTTCTCAATTTTGTTTCACTGGATTTGTTCCACTGTGGGTTTTTGTGGATGGCTTGAAGCAGGTGGTGAGAATGCAGCATGCTAACAAGAGAGTTTGAATTTTGGTTGGATCTGTGGTTGATGTAGCAGAATCCGAATCTTGTATCGTTTTTCAGATTTGGACTGGTTAATCTTTAAACCCATGTTATCTATGTTATTAGATTATAATTGAAACTGGCATGTACAACTGTGCTTGCAGGAGACTGTGTCGGCACTCACTATAGTCAAGGAGGAGAAAGAAGAACAAAGTGATGTGGAGGAAATGGAGGAAGAGACACTTCCCTCAGCACTACTCCAGGAGAAAAACCAGGAGATCGACCATCTCAACAATGAGATCCAAAGGCTTGAACAGGAGCTGGAGAATACCAGGGACAACAAGGTTGTTATAAAAACACACAATGCATGCAGACAGTGTGGGAATACATGTAGTTGATGAGACAGTGATGAAAAATTTAATTGTCTGCTTCTAATCTTTCTGAAAAAGGCTTTTGAGATTGAGCTTGAGGATCTACGCTCACAGGTGGAACATCTTCAGTCTGAAATCGCGAGAGTGCGTCAGGACAAAGAGGAAGAAGAGGAGCGCCTTCATGAGGTCATCAGCACGCTGCAGGCAGAACTCGCCACACTGGGCCCCAACCTACATGAAGTTAGCGACTCTCAGGATGGTGACAGCATCAATCCCTCACCCGCTCCCAGTCCTGAACCTCACCACTACACTGTCCAGGAACAGGAGAGGAGGGGAGGGCCAAGCAGCCTGAAGCAAGAGCTCAGTCTGACTCATTCTGCATCCTCTCGATCCCTTCGATCTCGTCTCAAGGCTCTTCAGAGTCAGCTTGAGACTGCAGTGGCAGAGAAAGAGGGACTAGAGCGATTATTGCTCACCCAGGAGGAAGAGTATAGAGGACATGGTGAGGAGTTTGGGAAAAGGCTGAAAGCTGAGAGGGAGAAGGCAGATGAGCTCCAAGGTCTCCTCACCCTCAAGGAAGCTGAGCTGGTGGAGATGAAAGAACAAGTAGAAGAGGAGAGCGACAAGAGGAAACTATCTGAGGAGGAGAGGGACAGTTGGAAATTTCAAGCTGAAGAGGTGAGCTCCCTGCACAAGGAGAAAGCCCACCTTAACACCCTGGTTACTGACCTCCAAAAGAAAGAACGGGAGAGGGTGAGAGAGCTTGAGACTCTAAAAACAAAGGAGCAGGAAATTAAAATAGAAATAGAGGTTCTCAGAGAAACCAGTCTCACTCTTGAGAGACAAGCTCAGGAGGTAAGAGCCGAGGTGGTAGACATGGAGGAAGTGGTTGCTGGGGAAAGGGCAAAGATTAAAACACTTGAGACTGTGAAGGGAGAGCTTTCTGCTGAAAGTGAGGCACTGAGGAGGAGGGAGGGGCAACTCCAGGAGGAAATCGAAAGGCTTAGACAGGAGGCGACTTCAATGAGAGGCCTAATCCAGGACCTGACAGCTCAACTCAATGAAAAGGAAACCAGTCAAGAAGAGGCTCAAAAGGAGGTGCTGGTGAGTGTTGCTACTGTACAAAGTAAACTGAATGTTTTTTCAGTTTTAAAAACACAATCTAAAATGCAAATTTGAACCAGAACTCCAAACACAGGATATGCTGTCACTTTCAAATTGATTGATAGTTAGAAAAAAAGTACATCTAAGCTGAGATTTAATCATTTATCTAGTTTCTAATCATGTCTGTTTGAACATATTACTTCAAATGTATATGGTCAAAAAAAAAACTGACTGTGCCTTTAGACTAGTCAGGACACCCAGAACAAGACCGTGTTCCAGATTTGAAGATGTCTGGGTTTTTCTTTGCAAAGTCACCCAGACAACTCAGTGAACCTGCTTCAACAGGCCCCAAGTCCCACCAAGAAATATCTTGACACTTTTTTTTTTTTTTTTGCTCACATGCAGCTGTGTTAGCGACTGCAGGCAAGACCACATCTGTTTATAGTTAGGAGCGTAATGACGTGTTACGGCACTGAGACAGCAGAATCTTGCACAGAGGAAGTGACATTAAAATGAGGAAGAAGGAGCAAAATCTTTGTTAGCTCTTGTTTTAAAAGCTGGTGCACGTTATTTTTCAATTCTTTACGATCTATCTTGGCAGGATGTGGTAAGGAGAAGTTGTGTTCTTTTTAAAGAAACTATGGAGGCTGAAATGCATTGGTTGTGCTGTTGCATTTCTTTCCATTCTGTCGAACATTGTTTGTACTGTTGCACAGCTGGTTTTGACATACAGTATGTCATAATGGTCACAGCATGTTAGAATGGTTTGTAATAGTAAAAGATGGCATCAAATTTCTAAGCTGGGAACAATGCATGTATGACATATGGTGCTCATTAAAATGTTGCTACATTGCAAAGCACTTAACTCCGTTCATCTTGCGCTCAAAAGTTCTTTAGAGAAAACTGAAAAGGGAATGAAAAACATGCGGCGTGAATGCATATGCCAATCCAGGAAAGTGACTATTATGATACTTACTGCTAATATGGATGTTTTTCTTTTTATTCAGACACATGCTGAAGTGACCCTGGCTAAAGCAGACGCTGCCTTGAGACAGAAGGAGACTGAGCTCATCAGACTGAGAGCAGATCATCAGGCTCTGAGGGTGGAGCTGACTGCAGTGAAACAGGGTCTGTGTACCAGTACAGAGAGGGCTGAGAAACTACATGAGGAAGGACAGGTGAGAATATAAAACTGAACAGAAAATCAGATACAGTTCCTGCACCTCTGGGAGTTAATTCATTAGAATTAATTAAATTAGACCTACGTATTATAAACTTAGTAGATGAATTTTAATGTCTCCTTCTGTCTATCAGACCAAAGACCGTGCCCTTGTTGACCTGGATAATGATAACCAGCAGCTGAAGGCAGAGCTTCGAGGTTTACAGGAGGACCTGGCTCTACAGGAAGAGGAATTGGCCTATCAACAAAAAGAACTACAGCAACTCCGACAGCGCTGTCAACAACAGGACACACTTCATCATCAACAAGGATACGCACAGAAAGGTGAGGACTTAATGTGTCTTGAAACATGTACTCTGCTGTTAAATATTCAGGTTATGTACTAATTGTTCTCATAATGACAATTTTTATTTTCTTCATTCAACAGATATTTCTCACAGAGCTTTTGAGGACATTGTGAGTGTCTCTCGTGATGAAGCCTCTCTGAGCTCTCCAGAGGTTTTAAGGAGACTTGAATGCTCCGAGGACAGAATCCCAGAACGGTTCCACGCCTCTGTTCTCTGCTCTCGCCTGTCTGAGCTCAGTGCTCTGAACAGCACAGGCCTGGATCTGCCCCAGGTCAAGACATCTCCCAGGGTTGTGATGGAGCCTCCCCACTCTAGAACCATCACACCAGATCCAGCCACACAAAATACCCACTCCCCAGGCTCAGTGTCAGTCTCTGACAACTTCTCCATGCTTGACTCTCTGGATGCTGACAAAGTATGTTGTCTGACAATGGTTGCATATCCTATTTTTGGACATTCTGTAAGAAGTGTTTGGATTTTTATCTTGGCTCAGATGTGGCTTAATATTTGTAATTCTTATGTTCTTAGGTGCATGAGTTGGATGGACTTGATCTAACAACCCCTCCATCCCCCATTGGCTCAATCTCCTCCTTATCAGCACCAGAATGGGCCAGTGATGGATATGGAAGCAGTGAGTATTTCCACACCGAGCCTGATGCCTGTGTAACTGTTATCTGAGAAGATTTTCAGTCCTCTCGGTCATGGTTTATCTAGAGGTGGTACATCAAGGCAACTAGACTTGTTTAAAATGAAAGCCTTTTGGATAAGATGTGAATGTCCAGTTGCCTTGACTCATAGCACTTATAGATACTAACTAATTAAGCAAGAAATATTCAACAAAGGATAAATACAACTCTGAACTAACCTGTTCATGGCACACAACATGAAACCCATTGATTCCTCCTCAAGACAAATCTTTAAAAACTGAGAAGAGAAGAATTCATACTTATGTTGTTATTTAACTTTTTTTCTTAATGGGGGTAAAACATTGTCGGTTTTGGTCGTTTAATGGAGATTGTCGACAGTAAAAGAAAAAAAAAAGTAGAATATCACCAGACTCATCTACTTAACTCTTCTGTTCTCCTCTTGTGCTTCAGATGTGAGTTCAGAGTTGGGTGCGAGGCTCAGAGTGGAGCTTGAACAGACTGAAAGACTGGATGCTCAGTTTGTTGAGTACCTCCGCTGCCGAGGGATGAACCCAACAGTTAACACAGATAGTGCTGCAGGCAGTATGAGCTACAGTGATGACCTGTTATCACCTGAGCTTCAGGTGGGCTTCATCTACACTTAAAAATGTTTCTATTTATTTGACAGTAAGCCCTAAATTGTACTCAATTTCTTTCCCCATCTTTCTGCAGGGTCTGTTGAAGAAAGTGTATCAAGAAAGCTGCAGAATTCTCACCTTGTCCCAACGGCGTGCCACTTCCTCCTCCCAGCCTCATGTCTCAGACTTAAAAGCCTTCTCACTGAGCCAAGCACAGCAGCATTGTGAAGATAGGTCCACCCTACTGGACAAATCATCCTCCAACCCCCCTATGAGCTGGCAGCAGGAGAAAAGGGCACTGCAGGAGACTGTGATTGCCCTCCGAGAGCTGCTCTGTCGAATGGCAGAGAGACATACACAAGTGAGTTTCTGTATCTTTTTAAATGAAGGCTTTACTATCATCTACTGAGGGGAAAAATTATTGTAAATGCTGTGCAGTGAAGTTTTTGTTAAAGTTTTGACATTTAATTGATTTCTTATCTGATAACTTCAGTGCTGTGGAATATCTGTGCTGATCTTCCATTTTTCTTCCTCAGACGGACTACAGAGGTGAAAATGACTGGCACAGAGATCAACTACACACTGATGGACAGGTTGAATCCCACCTAAAGGTGGAGCTGGATGAGAGTCGGAAACAACTGAAATGTGCTCATGACACTCAGCAAGAGCAAAATAACAAAATGCAATCACTCAGGTATACCTACGTACTGTATAACAGCAACATTTTATGTCAGAAACAAGTCAACATCATATATAAAATGGAGCACACTGTGTACTATCCGCCATATTGATTGAGATCAGCTTTGGCATAATTTTTAAAGTTATCAAGTAGATGCCACAAACAGATGCAATTTTTTTAAAATGGGATATCTGTATTTTCAATAACTTTGTATCTTATTTTATTAATTTGGATTCAGTTTTAATTGGCTAGTTTGTATTTTTTGAGCTCATGTCTAGGAATATCAGTCACACAAACATACATTCATGTAATGCTGCCAAAAGTGGTGAAAAGTATAATTTTGCTTCTCCAGGCTTGCCATCGAAGAAGGTGAGGAAGCTTTGAGGAGGGAGCAAACCAGAGTCCAGGAGCTTCAACAACAACTGGAGCAAGAGCGAGCTCTTAGTGTCCGTAAAGAAAGAGAGGAAGAGGAAAGGAGAGAGGTAAGAGAAGAGAAAACCAGAGAACTTGGTTTATTAGTCATGCCCATAATATGGCTCTGCAGTGTGGCTGTGTTTATAAGATCAAACTATGTGAAGAATCCAAAGTGACTTCAGCTTTCCTTTTTAAACTCTGAAAAATGACCCTCCTCTTCCCTGTCCAGGCTATGCAAGTATCCTCTGAGCAGCAGAGGTCAGAGGTCATGGCTCTGAAGGGTCAGGTAGAACAGGAGAAGGTGTCCTGCAGCAACCTCAGACGTGAGCTTCAGATTGAACAGTCTCGCAGTATGCTGCTGGAGAAACGGCTTGACGACACCCAGAAGGAGCTAGAAGATGAACGTCAACGTTCTGCCCACCAACAAGATCTCAACTTGACAGAAAAGACTCGTCTCGAGCGTCTCCTGACTGAGGCAGAATCTCGTTTGGGTGAGATTCACTCTAAACTCGCAGATGCTCACAGAAAGCTGGATGAAGAGAGAGACCGAAGCTCCAGGCAGGTGGATGAGCTCAGCCGCAGACATGAGGCTGATGCAGCCAGAGACAGGAAGTTTATCTCCGACATGCGTGTCCAGCTAGAGCAGGAGCGAAGCCAGGGGGAGGAACTGGCAGCTGTGACAGACAAACTGAGGGCCGAGCTACTGCAGAGCAGAAGGAAGTGGGAAGAGGAGGACAGAACGAGGAGGGAGGAGCTGCAGAGGGAGCAGGAGGCCGCCACTCGACATCGTGTAGCTATGGAGACCTTGAAGGAGCAGAAACAGGAAGCCAGCCTTGCTTTAGAGGTGGAGCGAGAGCGGTCCAAACGCCAAGGGGCGGATCTCGCAGAGCTGAAGGAGAGACTCCGACTGCTGAAGGACAAAGAGAGGGAGAGGGAGGAGCAGTGGGAGAGGGAGAGGAGGAAGGGGAGGCAGGAGCAGATGGAGAAGGAGATACGACAGGAGAGAGCCAATAACAAACTGGTAAGATATCATCAATTTAGTTTTTACACTTCTCTACTGTACTCACTTCTTTCTCAAATTTAATGCACATATTTTAGATATATATTTAAGATTTTGAAGTTTGAATACATGGAAGCACACCTCCTGATGACCATTTCTGACTTTAGTGCGAGTTGGAGTTGTTGAGGCAAAAGGACCAGCAGCGCATGCAGGAGCTCCAACACACTCTGGCAGAGCTGGAAAGAGAGGAGAAAGAGATGGCTGCTCATAGGCTGTCTGGACGAACCACAGGACAGCAGCACAAGGCTGCATCTTCACAGCATCTCCAAAGCAACTTCCAGGCTGACAGCGCCCAGGCAGGCAGCTCACAACATAACCAGCAGGTATACAAGTGGTTATTATTCTCACATGAACACTGCTGAAGGAGCTAATATTTGTAATAGCAGTAATAATACTAGACACTCTTTAGTGAAGGTCCCTTTCTGATCTTTGACCTATTTGTCACTTAATTTGTGTTGGATTCATATAATGTTGGTAATGTTGTAAAAATGTAATTAAATTTAAACTTAAATGGACTCCTGCTTGGTTAAACGTAAAATAAAAGAATCTATATTTATCACTATAGATACCGTCCATGTCCTCGTCATCATCATCCAGTCTGCTGGAGAGGTTGTTGAAGGAGAACTCAGAGTTGACAGAGCGGGTAACATCACTGAGTCAGGAGAGAGCCACTCTCAAACATCGACTCACCCTCCTGGAGCGGCAGCTGCGCCGCACAGAGAATGAGCTTGCCAAGATCACCACTGAAACTGAAAACAGACCCATCAATGATGTGACCAGCAACAGCAAGGTCAGTAGGAAATGCATACACATACACACATTTGTTATGATATAAACAATCGCATAATAGTCATTTTTGGATCAGATTTCAGATTAGATAGATTTTTTGAAATTAAACACTGTAGTGTTTTCCTAGATAGACTTTTTGGGCACCTCCAAATAGATTTACCCTTATCCTAAACACAGTGATGAAACAATTCCAACCTCTGTTCAATTGTTTGCAGATGCAGCGTTTGTATGAGCGTTACCTGCGCGCTGAGAGCTTCAGGAAAGCTCTGGTGTACCAGAAGCGTTACCTGCTGCTGTTGTTGGGAGGTTTCCAGGAGTGTGAGCAGGCCACACTGTGTCTCATCGCTCATATGGGGGCACGGCCCTCACTTCCACTCTCCTCCCAGCGCAGACCCCTCGGACGATTTAGGGCTGTTGTACGAGTTGTCATAGCAGTCTCAAGGTAGAGGCCACACCAGAATGTAAATGTTTTTTAAAAGGTTAGCTTTGTGTACGGATAAACCAAACCAACCCTATATTTATTTTTCTTACAGAATGAGGTTCCTCACCAAAAAATGGCAGAAAGCAATTAGAAGATTATCTTTATCTGGGACTGTCAATGGGCATGCTCCAGGTTAGTTCTGTGAACACAATTTAACATGATATCCATCACTTGACCGTGTATATGAGTGGTTGGATTTTTAATCTTAATGTCTCTTACAGGACCTAAAGTTGAAGTTTTAAGGCAGCAACAGCGAAGATCAAATTCTGACTCGCCCCCAAACAGAGACACGGTGTCAGCTCTTGTTCCACCCAGCAAATCGCCCTTCAGGTTGCACAACAGGTTTGGTCTACTCTGCAGCAAATAGTTTTTTTTAACTTCAGACTTCAATTGAAAAATTTAAGTTAAAGACCCTACAAATATTTCAGTTGAATCGAAGTAAATGTTCCTCTAGTAAGATCTGTTCTTTCTTCAGGTCATACTCCAGCACCTCTCTGGCCTCGGGGCATTCAGGGGGAACGTCTCAGGACCCAGAGCTATCCCTGACAGATTATATCCATCATCTAGAGAAAGTCCAGCAACGGTTGGTGGGAGCCAGGCGAGGTGAGAAGCATGAAGTATAAGTTGGCTGAAACAGGTGAATTTTTGCACCAGAAATTGAGTTGAATGCACCATGGTGGAAGAAATAAAATCACTCTGGTGATGGAAATTTCAAGGCATCCTCCTTTAATACCAAATTAATAAACACGACGTGTTGGGTTCTGAGCACCTAATTAATATAAAGTGTGATATGTGTAGTCACAGGGTACTGGGTGTATGTTTTTATATCTTTTAGACACATGCCCCTTTCTTTGGTCACTCATTTTCCAGGATAAGTTCAGTACAAGACAGTACAAGTAATTCTAGGACAAATAATGATGTTGTGTTGGGCGGCCTAACATTTCCTGGGAACATGTTATCAAATCCCACAAAACCTCTGTGCTCTATCATCTCCCAACCTAGTAAGCAAGACTCATTTAGCCGTGCCCCCTAAAGAGGAAAGGAGGATACAGTCAGCCTGTTCCCCTGATATGATTGGTTATCGGCAGCGCTGGCTGCAGGAGAACAGGACGTGGCTGTACCTGAGCTGCTTGTCGCCACTTTACCTGAATGGTCCAGGTGAGTGTGAGTGTAACATACTCACTCCACCAAATAATAAAGCAGCACAATGCTCTTCTCAGAATGGGTACTGACTTGTCAGCAGTCACTGAGTGCACTAGACTTTACACTGCGGTCTCAAACAAACACGTCCTGCAGGTTTCTCACCCTCCTATAATTCATAGCATGTTTAAGATAATTTTTGCTGATTAAACATATATAATGTTACTGATTTAAATTCTAAAGCATTTTGAGTGCATTTTGTTTCAGTACATGTCAGAATGACGGAAAAATCAACTTTACATCATGGTTGGGACAACTGAGATTTGACTAAGCTGTCGAACAACATTGTATTCAGAAATTGTGTTGTTAGAAATTTGAGCCTGAGACAAATGATAAAGCAGTCATGGACAATGCACAAAGGATAATGATAACATTAAGGTTTCTTACTAGCTGTTTGGTGGGTGATCAAATGTCAGAGCTTGCTATCAGCACATGAACATGCCAAACATGATCAAAGTCACTTACTACGTACTATATTGTATAGTGCTCTTTATTAACCCCCTATTATTTTATTTTAGTGTCCAAACTATGAAAGTGTGGAATTTATCCATTATATAGTGTCAATTTTCAAAATTGGATTGAAAAATGGGATGTACACTATACACCTAGATGGATAAATAAGATAGTTGTTTGCAATGACGGCTTAGCGCTGAAAAGTAAGCATGCTGTAGGTGTGATTTTCTTTACATGAAGGCTAAGTCACTTTAAGTGATATAGAAATATATGAAATAGAAAACTTCTAAATATTAGACAACAGTTCTACCTTAGCTCTTTTTGGTGTGATGGATTACATGTTTCAAGCTTGTTTCATTCATACTGATATTAACTCAAAACTAGTGGCTGTCTTGAATGTAGAAAAAAAGGCATTCATAAATCTAAAAAAAACTGGTATGCTCTGAAAAATGGTTGGCAGTACGGTGAAGTAGATGTGCATAATTCATAGTAAATGGACTGAAACGTACAGAAACACCAGTATAATACTATAATGAACCATGCCTAGTGTGTGACAGCCATGCTGACAATGGACAGTTTTTCATCTGTTTTCATTACAGCTGCATTTTCTCATGTGTTTGACAGAACTGAATATTTCATCTGAAGACGATAAATGAGGTTCTGCTGACATACCTTTGCAATATTCATTGATGTGTTAAAATACTAGAGGATTGTTCATTTTGGCAGCAGAGCAGTAGTGGCAGATCATATAAATATTTCAAGTTTTTTTTTCTAATAGGTGTTTTTGCACTGCAAAAAATTTGATTACCCAACTGTGCTTGTACATTTATTCTGTGTTATTGTTTGTTTTTAAACAAATCAAATTTTTCAGCAAGCCGACAGTTCTTAATAAAAATCTTTTAATTCACTCAAAGAAATACAACACAAACCATCAACAGTGGTTTTGTTCTGAACTGTATGATACCTTGGTTGCTATTTATGTAACTTACTTAAGTCTTGAGATAAAGGTTGTTTTTTGTTTGTGTCTTCTCAGGCTCGTCTGTTCTCCAGCCCGACCCAAAGTAGTCCACTGAAAGAATGAATGTGTCCTATCTGCATATCATTACAAAACTGTCCATGCCTTACATTTATGTAGATATTTGTAGAAAGTATTATCAGATTTGTTGAATTTTTTGATGACATGATTTTTTTTTTTTTTTAGTACATAAGTACATAAATTATTTTTTAAGATTTTCTATTGTAATTTTTCTATTCCCTGTACCTCGGTATTTTGAAGGTCACTCTTGAGCTGTTGCAAAAACAGATGTTTTTGATTATTTTAAGTAGTGCTGTTTGTCATTTTTCTAATGTTTTATACCATTTTGTTGCTATGTAAATAAGGCTGATGTTCATGTGTCCAAATGTGCACTGGTTTTATACTGCAAATCTATGATGGACATAGTTAGTGAATATATTATTGCATAAAGGTGAACCATATGTTTTTGTATTATCTATGTTTCTACCATAAAATTAATAAATATTTTAAATGTGTGATTACAAGCCAAACAGATCTGAGAACTATTTCTTATGGTAGCTCAGAATTTACATATATCCTGGATTATCTGACATTTTTGCACAATTTTTCAAGAAAGAATTTATATAAGATATTTGATTGTCGTGCTATTTAATTTAATTAATAACATTAAATGCAGGGTGGATAAATAACAAGAATAGAGTAATGGAACAGAACAATAAGAAAAAAAAAAGGCATAGGCTCTATTAAAGCAGTCACAGGCAGATGAGATGTGTATAGGTTTTTCTCTCCATTTTACCATATTTTTCTTTTGCCTTAGTTCATTCTTGGCCTTTTCATACATGGCATGCTGAATAACTATTATTTTGCTATCATAAAGTTACTGCTGATAAGTTAGACCTCTGTTTATTTCACTTGTAGTGAGATTTATGATTACTAAATTATTACGAACACCCAAGATTGAATTTACAAAATACATTTTATGAAACTAAGTCAGACTTTTAACTTATCAGAATGTATATTGTTAAAATTCAGAAACTAAATCAAAATTATGAGAATATGAGATCTAAATCTATAAATCTAAATCTTCGATCATAGATTCAATTTTTTTGTCTTTTTTGGTCTATTCTTTGAACAATTCAGAATCATAATGATCTTTATTAGCGAAGCATGTTTGTGCTTAAGAATTTGACTCTGGTGTCTAATCGCTCGCAATGTACCAATAATAATGTTCAGGAAGATACATATGGATATACAGCAAAAACAAGTACAACCAAACTGATCTAATTGCAAATTTCATTAACTCCGAGACAATTAAACATTTCCTCCTTATTTCTGTTTCTGAGTGTCAGTGAGATGTTGATCATTATTACATAACAGCTGATATCTGAGCTGCTCAGCAGCAGCCAATGATATTTTGATCTGCCGCTGACGTTCTTTACCTTCTCGGTCAGGGGTTGGTTCGTTTATTTACTCCTCAAAAGCCGCTTGTGAGCGGTGTTCCAAATCTTGTTTCCAAACAGATGTACTGTAAGAGTCCGCCCACGCGCCTTTTCCGTCGACGTACAAAACGTTCGCACTACGTGAAACATCAACACGGTGTGACGCACATCCTTCGCGTTTCAGCACAGTGATGCTAACGCTTAGCTAAGGTAACGGTGGGCGGTCTGTGTCGTAGATCGTTGTTTGACTTCTTATCTGCGGTGAAATAGTCCTGGCCCACGTAGAAGACCTCGTTACAATTTTCTCGTATTTGTCTGGGATGTATGGATGGATAGTTGACGGAATCTCGTCGCTGTTTGAGCCCATTACGGGGCAAAACCCCACCGAGTGGCCCGGGAAAGGTAACGTTAGCCAGGAGGTACCCACGCGACCTGGCGTTAAAGCGGGAGCACAGCGGCAGGAGAGTCACGGCAGACCGGCTAAACGGAACTACCAGAGGTCGGTTGTTGAAGATAAAGGCTATTTTTAGTACTCTGTGTAATACCAGTTGTATTGTACATCCTAATATCCGCCTGGTTGGCTACTAATCAATCGGATATTGTAGCTAAGGTCGGAGGTTGGTGTCTGGAAGTCTCCTAAGTATTACTAATCAGCAACATAAAAAGTAATGTGATATAATATATTCGTGTAAATATTGCCTTGTATTGTTGTCAATGTGTTGTAGTATTGGAAAACTGCTATCCTTTAACGTTTATTTCCTGTGGTATGAGCAGCATTTTAGTTGTGATGGGCATGTTTGACAATTGTTTGATTGACGTCAACCTTCTTTTGACAATTTCCTCATATTTTATAGACCATTGTATTAGACTGACTTGTCAGATTAATCAATAATGAAAGTACTGAGGTGTAGCCCTAATATTTTATCCATCTCATTTATATCAATGAGGGTAGACTAAATAGTAGAGACACCACCCAGTATAATACAATACAGCTTTAAACTACATCATCTAAAATGACCATAAAATTCAATCAACACTTAAACAGATTAAACAAAGAATGAACATTATCACCTTGATAAAGATTTAATGTGATTTGATATCATATCACTGAGAAAATAATATTGAGATACAGTTGATATCATCCATCTCAAATCTTTTTCTGTTACAGTGTTGATGTTGCAGACAATGTTTGCCAGAGTGACCCGGTAGAGGTGAAAAGACGCAAGCGAGGTTTGTCTGCAAAAGAAAACAAAACGTCTTGATATTTATTCTAAACATGTAGTCAAATAGAGAGGGTTGTTGATTTGTTGTGTCCTCTGTTTCAGATGTAGTCATCAGCTTTGTGAAGAAGACTGTGGCCGGGGTAGCAGGTCTGCTCAGGCTGCGAAACCCGCTGACCACCAGGCGTGAGAAGCCTAGATATTATGAAGAGACACAGGTTTGTGCTCGACCTACCACCATCAAAAACGTGCATTTGGAATTTGGTGGAGGAAAACTAACAGTGGTGGAAGACGTATTCAGATCCTTCATAATATACCATTATTTCCACCAATGGAAATTACTGTTTGATGAAACAGATGTACAGCTGCTGTGTTGAATGTCCAGTGGACTTTTCGTTTTGTAGATATCAATTGTCCTGTTTAGATTTGGTCAGAAATGCTTCCTGGGTGGGAATAGTACTAAATAGAGGAGCATTACATGCAAACTGCACTGAGGACACATTTGGGAGTGTTACTGTATTTTTTTAGGTTGTGTCCGACTTTTTTGTTTTAAAGATCCACCTACACACATTTGTAGTTTGCATATACAAAAATAAACCTACAAAACGTGGATATAGTTGATTTGCCTATACCAAACAACCCAGTTTCAAAGGCTTTACTTGCAGCAAGATGTTCAGTAGCCATTGGAGTCCTCTCCTCTCTGTTCAGCAGTGACCAGATACCTAAATGTAACATCAAATGTGAACAGGCAAGAAATGGTGACAATGTGCGTAATTAAGTTCCATTTGAGACACATTCTGATAACATGAACTATAATGCATATCGAGTAGCTCAAGACACAAAATTACTAGGTGTGAGCAAAGTCAGTGTGACTGCTACACTGTACTAGACACTTAAAACTTTTTTAACCAGTAGGGTTTGGACAAGAACATCAGAAAACAAGCACAACCTAGGCTTTCTTCATCTTTAATGACCTTGTATTTCCTCTGTGATTCAGCCTGTCACTCTGATGGGGATAGATGAGCTCCACACCTCATGGTTGAACAATACTGAATGGAGAATGGGTAAGTGGGGGCAGCTGTTACTGCAGGAAAATACTAAATTTGTCTCATCCACATTCTTTCCTGTGTAGTCCTGTCATCATAATCCCTGTCTTCATTCGGATGATTTTTTCTTTATTCCACAGATAAACCAGTGGGTGGAGTGAATGAGAGGAGTGGCAAAAATCCCTTTCAGGGATCCTCACCTCCTTTAATGAGGAAATACAGGTAGGTGATCCAGTATTTGAGACTCTTTATTCCTACCCTACACCACCTCACTGCTGTTTTAACCTTTATGTATCCAGTTGTCTATGATTATATTTGTAGAGCTGTCTTATTCATCAATGTTTGTTCATTAGTGTCATCTTTTGAGGATGCTCCCTTGCTAATGTACATAACCTTTTTTGATCCAGTGGGACAGCGCTCTCTGCAGGCCTTGCGGACAGGGGGAAGGACAGGGAGAGGAGAGGCTCCCTTCAGCTGTTGCCCTCTAGGTCTGTTCTGAGAGTAGGAACCGCTAACCCTGACCCAGCCTGCAATGGCTTTGGACACAGCCGCTGCTACAAGCCCAGTCTTACTGTGGAAGAGGTAAAATAATGTTTTGAGTTATATTTACCAAGAGAAACACCTCATAATCACACCTAAAGACTGATATTTGGCCTAGTCAGTGACGTGTTTGGGTTGTGCCTCTAGGCCATAAAGCAGAATAATAAGGAGCACTACAGGCGCTTGCTGGAGATGGTGACAGAAAAATACAGCAAAAGTCAGCCACTACCTTTCAACCAAACAAAACCGCAAGAGTGAGTATAACGATAAGTGTTGTTCTTTTTTTTTGAGGGGGGGGGTTCCACCAAAATCTACTCAACAGTATACCCCATGATATGAGCTGGTTCGTCCTCTCTGATCCTTTTCTCCTTTTGGTCCTAGTGAGTCACTGTCACAGGGTGATCACAAACCTGCTGCTTCAGGGAAAACCTTTGAACCAGTCCCCAGGAAGACGGCATACACAGGTAAGACACCTCTATAGACCTTACTCACCTCCAAAAATAGTAGAATCTGTAAATGTGTTTATTGTGGGTAGTTGTAAGTGATGCTTCATCTACAGATTGGTTTTTCAATATAAAATGTCATTGTTATTATAATACCATGACAATATAATTTAGTCCAAATATACTTAATTTACTTTTAATTATTGAAAAATGACTTTACAATTAATTTATAATTGGCAATACATTTTCTGTTGATCAACTAATCATTTCAGTTCTAATTACCTCAGACTTGTTTAGGGCTTTTTTTTTTTTTTAATAGATGTAAACCATTCCTTGAATAAACAGATCCCTATCCACATTACTCAGTCAGTATGTTCCTATCAGTGATAATGTTCCAGTGAACTCTGCCCCGTTGGACTGACATTTGTGTCTGTTGCACAGCTGCCCCGAGCATGTTTACATGGAGAAATGCTTCTGCAACCAAGGACAGGTTAGTGTAGTATGTATTTGCATGTGTGTGCTGCGTATGTTGATGAATTTTATTTCTATAACCTATGACTCATCTCCAGGTGGGGTGGCTTGACTTTCAGCAAGTCAGTCAACGGCAGCTTTGAGGAAACACAGTCTTTTAGAAATGCAAAGGTAGACATTTCTCTTGCTCTCTCCCATCATGTTAAAGCGTTCATGAAGTTATAATTACGTGTGAAAAAATAAATGTATTTTCCTGGCATGTCTGTGCATCGGCAGAAACAGGCAGCGGAATTGGACCTCTCTACAGAAGTAGCGACTCGCCTCAATCTAGTGGACAGAGAGACTCCTGCTGTCTGTCTGTCTGACACACATTCTGCACATACAAGGCACAGTGATGAGGACATACCTAGGCTGACCAAGGTGAGATTAAATGTTTCATAGAGATAGATGTAGTCCCACTGTGTTGAAGACAACATGGATGAACATGCGTGTGTTTATTGTCTGTGTGTAGGAAATGGCAGCAGAGGTGAGTGGTGCCCTGGCTCAGAGTGATCCCAACCTTGTTCTAAGCGCAGCTTTCAAACTTCGCATCACGCAGAGAGACCTGGCCACGCTGCAGGAAGGGGGCTGGCTCAACGATGAGGTAAGGTGTAGTAGGAGCCTGAAGACAGTTTTGGTAAAGTTCATTAAATTTGGGGTGCCAATTTTACTTATTAATTTCATTGCAATACAATCAACTTTGGTTGCAATACAATCGGTCTATATGAAGAGCTAATGAATTCACTTAATAGAACATTGTGGATCTGTTGATATGTGACCAATGTACAGTATATTTTTTAAAATGTAATATCTTGTGCCTTTTCTGCTTCCTTGGTCAAGGTGATGAACTTCTACCTGTCCCTGGTCGTAGAGCGGTGTTCTGGCCAAGCAGCAGGATTGAGAGTCTACTCGTTTAGCACGTTCTTCTTCCCCAAGCTGCGGGGTGGAGGAGGCGGACAGGCTGGAGGACATGCTGCCGTGAAGCGCTGGACCAAGGCTGTCGACCTCTTCCTGTACGACCTTATCCTGGTCCCTCTGCATCTTGGTGTCCACTGGGCAATGGCTGTGAGTCAGAACTACAACTACAACGACAATGACTGATTTATCATATGTAATATCTGTAATATTCCAGAGTTCCTATAAAAACTTGTTATTATACTGTATGTTTTAACTTTTTTTCCTCAATCTCATTCCAGGTGATAGATTTTAAATCAAAGACAGTGAAGTCATATGACTCGATGGGCCAGAGGCATGATGACATCTGTAGTCAATTACTGTGAGTAATTTGGTTATCTGGCAATTTTGAATGCTTTTTCCATTTATTCCCCTATATTATTACATAATTAGTGGCATCATGCTCATTCTCCAGACTCTATCTTAAAGAGGAGCACAAAGCAAAGAAAGGCAGAGAGCTCGACAGTGCCAAATGGACTATTGGAAGCTTGAGGGCAACTGTAAGTTAAACTCAGATGAATGACATGACACTTACATTTTGTCCTTCACTGTAAGATTAATGAGGTTGTATTGTGTATGCCTTGTAGGAAATTCCCCAGCAGAAAAATGGCAGTGACTGTGGTGTTTTTGCCTGTAAATACGCCGACTATATTGCAAAAGGAATGCCTCTCACCTTCAAACAGGTATATATTGTATATTAACTGGATGTAGGAATACTTTTTTGTATCGTTTTAATTTTAATTTTTTACATAATTTTTAAACTGAAAGTAACATCTGCCTCTGTCTACAGTGCCACATGCCCCTCTTCAGAAAGTTAATGATTTGGGAAATCCTCAATCAGAAGCTGCTATAGAGGATTGGATCAATCTCCTGTCCATCAACCGCCTAACAAGAGAGACTTTCTCAATGGGAGCAACATCTCTGTACAGTAACTACATGTTGAAAAAAAAGAAATAAATGGGCCAAAGAAGTGGACTGACATCTAACCCAGTCTTGCTGTTCTGGTCTGGAGAAATCAAACACTAGTCTTAAGAGTTAATTATGTCCCTTTTCCTATCAGGGACATATTGATGTTTTGTAATCTCTGAGTTGTAATTGGAGACATTATTAGGATGTAAGAAGTGTATGTCTTATACAAGCTTTGGCACTACTGACTGAATGGCTTTTTTTATTGACTTTGGATTGTTTCTGTTACTGTTTTGAAGTATTGCCTGAAGTGCCTTCAGCCCTCTGACACTGAGCTCAACATAGAGCATGCTTTTGTTTTTTTTATTTTCAACTCCAAGTCAGTTCTGAGGAGCTGGACTCAAAATTCATTATTTCGATTGTCATAATCAGTGATATTTTGGTGTAATTTGGCTGTTCTCCTCCTGGTTATGATCAACAAAGTGGATGGCAAATAACTACATTTAGTCTCTGTTTGACATATAGACTATGAAAATTAAAATACCTCCTTTCCATACATTAATGCATGGTTGAGTGCTTGTAATATAACTTTTGCTATTATTTATGATGTGATTGAATGAGCAAGTGTATTTGGAGTGTATGTATAGTTTGTTTTTCCTCCATGAGTGGAGTGTTAATAGTTGTTTGCCCATATGTAATAAAGCGCTGTTAGGTCTGTGAATCTTTTCCATGAGCATAATGCAAGAGGCTACTTAGGGCTATTACAATGACTTACAGTGTAGTATTCTGCATAGCAAACTACTGTACACACATGCATGTTTGAGTTCATGCTTTGAAAATGTGATTCTTTTTTTTCCCCATGTAATAAAGTATTTCTTTTTTAAATTGGCGTTTGGTATTTTAAGTAACTCATGCAGTGTTTCTGGAGGGTCCCTCTGTAGCTACAGGGTATGAATTTATATTACAATAAATTGTCACATTTATCTTATTGCACAGGCTATACAACACCTCAGCCAAAGGAAGTGGACTAATCTAATTATTATTGTTTATTTATTATCAACTGTTATTATTATTATTATTATCAACAACGAGCTAATGGACACATGAATTTCCCCTAGGGGATAAATAAAGTATTTATCTATCTATCTATCTGGACCTTTGTAGTCTATGTCCACAAAGTACAACCTCTGGTTTGGATTTGATCATTTAATCAGATTAAATAGGTTGTAAAATATGAAGTGACAGGACCTGGTTAAGGTCGTTGATATGTGTTTTGTTATGAAATGACATATTGCAACGCTATTGTTAGAATGTAGGTTAAGGTAATGTTAACTCCGAAGCCGGCACCTGTTTTCATGGCGACAGTAAACATTAATGTTGCGGACTGAGGGAATGAAAGCAGGGTGCTGGATTTTATACATTGTGATGATGATGAAGATACATTGTAAACAGACCACATTTCATACACATCTATCTATCCAGATTTTTACATTAGTGTGTATACCGCGGAATGTTCACAGCTAAAGTGAGCGACATCACAGAGTGGGGAGAAGCTGTTCATCCTGTCTTAAAGATTTCTGTTGAACTCTAAATGCTGCATATCACAGTGGATCTTTGTGTAATTTATGCCCTGGTAAAACAACCAGCTGCTACTGCCCCAGACAAACAAACAAGTGACAAGGAAGTGACATCCTGTCGAATGACCTGCCTGCCTGATGAGAGGACTGACAGATCATATTTTCATTTTGACCCCAAAAGAGCGTAGTGACATGTATACATTATTGTAATGGACTGAGGGCGCAGTTTGCTTATTGTATTTGAATATTGTCACTGTAGAGCAGGTTAAGTATTTCAAAATTAATTATCAATAGCGTTTGAATCCAATTTTCATTCATAGAACGCCCACGAATATGTGAAAATGAAAATGCAAATTGGATTACTTGAACCTTATCTAAGATTTGGGACCATGCTTACATCAACACACCTTAAATATTTAAAATTAAAATAGCACAAATTGTTAAACTCAATAGTTAGAATTTGTGCACTATGTATAATTTCTTATTGTTCAAACTTACAAATAAGTGTAAAAATATATACTCAAGTGTTTAATGTTAATTTGACAAGAGGTCACTTTCTTGTTCAGGGAAATGAAAATATTGTTTTCACTTCACAAAACAAAAACACAAGTTTATAAGTAATATTTATGTATTTTAGTGCAATAAAATGCAATAAAAATAATAATAATAAGTCTTAAAATTAGCTAAAATGTAGTTCCAAAATTAAATTAATTGCTTAAATATATATATAGGGGACCATTCAATAAAACGATTATTATCTTAAGTAGTAGTAGAAGTAGTAGTATTACGCTTAATTAAATATTATTATTATTATTATTATTATTATTACTATTATTATTATTATGCTTGATTATATGATTATATGTGTCATTTATTTGCCCTTTAAATATCTGCTTTTCTGCCAAATAAAGTTTTTCTAGACGCTTTTATTCTGAAGATCAAACCGGAAGAGGGCAACGATCTACTCTAGCTGCACAATCTGCCCATTCAGATCAAACCGGTTTGCTTTGCGGTAGACTCGGTGATATCAAGTTAAATCAGTTGTTAAGCCAGTTTACAACGCACTATTTATACATCTGCTGTCTAGTTACATAAATATGAGCGACAACGAGAAAGAGTTCAGGGAGCAGGTGAGTTGTGTTTATGACTAAATAACGGTTCAAAAATAGAAGTTAAGCTAGCTAACCATAGCTAGCTAGCTTAGCTGTTAGCTGCGTTTGCAGGTCTGGTAATGGAAACAAATTTCGAAAACTGGCCGCAAACCTGAGAGAAGTGTGTTCTATGTAAGGCTGGCCGTTTTGTGTGAACTATTATAAGTGATACGCTCCTACAAATATATAGTACCACAGTGTTGTTAATGTTGATGTAACGTTACCTTAGCTAAAGCAAGAGGCCTACAAAGCACAACAGCGCGGAGATGTGACCGCTGCCCGGCCATGCTACTTTGATTTTACCGCTTATTTGTAGCTCAATTGTTACTTAGCTGTACCTATTGAAATACCCACCAGCCAATATGAAATATCAACAGCAAGTCACTTTAGAAATTAACTTTCAGCTTTGTGTCAGTACATGGTAGTTAGGGCCATTGAAGACCATCAGGGCTGCAACTAATGAATATTTTTGTCATCAGTTGTTATTTTTTCGATTAATCGATTACTCTTTTGGTTAACAATATTTGTCAATTTCAATCATTTTTCATAGCTCAAAAAGTTAATGTCTTGTTTTGTCTAAAAATCCAAGGAAGTTGAGTCTACAATCACAGAGGACTAAAGAAACATGAAAATATTCACATTTGAGAAGCTGAAACTAGAGAAATTTGGCATATTTACTTTTAAAAAATTACTCCTAAATATTAATTGATTATCAGAATAGTTGCTGATTATATCTCTGTCAATTGACTAATCGATTAATCGACTAATCTTGCAGCTCTCAAGACAATAGCAAGCTAACATACAAACGTGTATTCACCTAATATATGTTGTTTTCTGGTTTTGCTGTTGTTTTCTTTGTACATTTTAGTTTTTAACAGAAACCAACATGCCTTATCACCCTTGTTTGTTCTTTGTTAAGGTTGAGGTTGGAAGAAAGAAAAAGGCGGAAGACGTTTCAGATGTGAAGTTGTTAATGTTTGAAGCTGATGGTGTTGATGCATGCTAATGTATTGGATGCTGAAAAGAAGCAATCAAGATCTGTCCCCACTACTAGTGTTGTAATGGCAGATGGTAAATGGGGGAAGAGGAGGAAAAAAGAAGTCATAAGGTCAAACAGAAGAAAGAAGAAATGAAGGGTTGTTTTGAAGTAATGAAGTTAAAGAAGTTATGAAGTTAAGATCAGAAGTTTACCAGGGTATGAGTAATTTCCTAACAGCCTGCTATGTTATTACTCTTTCATTCTGTTTCTTTCTCTAAAGCATGCACTTTTTATTTCCTCTCTGTGTCAGAAACATCACTGGTCAATCCCTCCATACCATTTAGGTTTATTCTGTGTGCAATCTGAAATTCAGCTAAATTATTTCATTTCTACTTTAAATATCTGTTGCATTGTATGAACTTTTATGATCAAATTCCTAAATATTTAGTGTCAAACCTGTTTAATGCCAAAATGTGGTGAACTCCCTCTGAAAGGGGCATGTAGAGGGTGAACGCAGTCACTTCCTGTCCCCTTTTATTCTTGTTTTTTGGCAAAACCTTGGCTTAGGAGTGTTTCTGACCTCAGTGTCTGGTCTGTCCAGGACTCTCGGCCTGGCTCGAGGAGTGCGTCCCCTCGGGGGTCAGCGAAATCCACCAGCCGCTCACCAGCACGCTCCAAAGATGGCTCCCGCCGTTCCAGGTCCAGATCTCGTTCTCGATCCAGATCCAAATCCAGGTAATATGGGTTTAATTTTTCAAAGTTGGCTGTGGTGTGTAGTTCATTTGTACACAAGAACTACATTTCTCAAACTTAATTATGAGTTTAATTATGATTTATTGTATTACACACATGAATAATAGTTTATGTCTATCCCCAGGTCCCGGTCCCACCGAAGCTCACGTAGACACTACTCCCGCTCTCGTTCCCGCTCACACCGACGCCGTTCCAGGAGCCGATCTCGTAGCTGGGAGTACCGCCGCCGTAGGAGCCATAGCCGTTCCCCCATGTCAAACCGACGCAGACACATTGGCAATAGGGTTCGTAGAGTCTTTTATACATGCTCAGGCTGCAGTTCCTATGGGCCTTCTAATTTGTGAATTTGTAATTTAATGTTTTAATGATCTACAAAGCCCTTGATCTAAAGAAACTTCATGGACACACTAGTGTTTTCAGTTTCTTAATTTGATAAGATCATGAGTAAATCTCCTTTGTGGTGTGTAATCTTCATGAATTTTACATATAAAAAAAACGTTGAAAATGCAAATTGCTGCAAAGTCCTCAAATTTTCTCAACTATCATTTTATCACAACATTATAATGTTACTTCATTTGCAGCTATTTTACCTCACCCTTTGAATTGACCAACTTGTACACATCAAATTACAAAAAAAACTTGACAAATACAATGTGCATGCATTTATAAACTGCCTATTTTCACATTCAACAGAAACATTTTCCAATTTTCTCTGTAATACCCAGGTGCTGATATGCTCTGAAAAGAAGGATTTTGTAGCAGTGATGTGGCAGGTTGTTTGTGTACAATATTTTCACACTCCTTTTACTCTCACAGGCCAACCCAGACCCCAACAACTGTCTGGGTGTGTTTGGACTGAGCCTGTACACCACTGAGAGGGATCTGAGGGAGGTTTTCTCTAAATATGGCCCTTTGAGTGATGTCAACATTGTGTATGACCAGCAGTCACGTCGCTCAAGAGGCTTTGCCTTTGTCTACTTTGAAAACTGTGAGGACTCCAAGGAGGTAGGAAGAAGATGGTGATACGTATTTAAAAATGTTTTCACAGTTTACCTTCAATTTCTCAGCAAATAAGATTCGATATCATCAAGTACTTGAATACTTTTTGGTTTTTACCGTTTAGCAATTTTAATACATTACTTTTTCCTCTAGTAGCCTGCGATGGATGTTTTGTTTTATGAAAGTGTATTGTGTTGGTGAGAGAAGTGTGTTTACTGACAGGAAAGAAGTGAAAGTTAATCGTATCTTTTTTGGTAAAATTATAACGATATGATTTATTGTTGAAACTTCTCTATAGAGTTTCTGTTATTAATGACAACCATCATATAAATAGGTTCTGTTGGAGTTGAATGAGTGTTTGTGCATTCAGTACACTTGCATCTGAATTCTATGCAATGCACTGAAATTAAATGTTTAACACGAAAAGCATTTCATTAGTTTACTAGATAAAAAGTCTACTTCTGACTGTGTTTCAGGCCAAGGAGCGTGCTAATGGAATGGAGCTTGATGGACGCAGGATCCGAGTGGATTTCTCCATCACTAAACGAGCCCATACTCCCACTCCTGGAATCTACATGGGACGTCCCACATAGTGAGTGTTTCTTAACCATGCAGGGTTTTATATGTTACATAAGGGATATATTCTGGAAGTTACTGAGTGTGTTGTCTTTTAAGGTGTCACCAACGTTATTTCTATGTGTGTTCTTTTAAGTGGGGGTGGTGGTGGCAGTGGCGGCGGCGGCGGAGGCGGCGGTGGTGGTGGTGGCAGTGGTGGTGGTTCGTCACGGCGTGTCTCGAGGGACTATGACAGGGGCTACGACAGAGGTTATGACAGAGGTTACGATCGTGATTATGATCGTTATGACGACCGAGAGTACAGATCATACAGGTGGGTTCTTTTTGGCCTGTTTGGCCCAGTATTTCACTTGACTTTGACAAGTGATAGGACTGCATCTATTAAAATGATAAATTTTCAGAATGGAATAGTCTACTGATAACTCTTAAGGTTGTATAAGAATATTTTAAAGATCTAGAATAAATATGGCTGATATTAAGTTGGCCAGATGTCTTAAAAATAAATTATGAAACAAAATCCTGGCTTTTTTTTTTTTTTTTCTGGCTCAAACGAATAAATTAATTCAGTTATCCTAATTATGTTTAACATTAAAAGCCCCAGGTGAAGTGTGGTGGTTTTCTTTTTCCCTCTACAGACGCAGATCTCCATCTCCTTACTACAGCAGAGGGTATCGCTCTCGATCCCGATCCCGATCCTACTCACCACGTATGTTGATGCCATCTTTCTATTATTTGGCTGCAAGATATATTGACTTAGAATTTGAATATATTGACTTATTTACAGTTTATATGAAATCCAGATGTTACCTTCGCACATACCATTTATTTGATCCACATTTGTGTTCTTTTTGTCATTTCTTTTTTCACAGGTCACTACTGAGCAGTGTGAGAAGAGTCAACGACAGATTTAGTGTTATTGTTTAAATACTTGTTTCTTTAATGTTTTTTGAACATATTATATATGTGATAGGAATTCAGGATTTGATATATATTAAAAGCTAAACCAAGTTCTCCTGAAAATGCAGTGTGTCTGAGCACCGAAACATAAATGGTGATTTTAATCTTTACCTAATTTGTCGGAAGTGTCATGAAAAGTTCATGAAGAGTCATGAAAAATTTGGTTCCGGTGAAAACAGGCAATTCTGCAGATCTACACCAAATATCAATCACTTTTCACTTGAATTGAAATATGTGAAATCACAATAGCTAAGAGAAATCTGAAACAGAATCTCTTTGGTGTTGATAATTAAACAGTTCTGGTTTCTTTATGATTGGCTGGACAGACTTGATTTTACATCAGTATTATCAAGTATTTTCTGTGGACATTATATTACTATTTCACATTTAGCTGTTTGTATGTAGCTGGTAAAATTGTCAAGATCCTAGTTTGCTCCGGGATGTATTTGAAATACCATGTTTGTTTTTAATTTTGTCTTTTTTGGTGCAAAGTACTTTTTATGGGGTCGGGCGGGGGGTTGTATATAAACAATAAAAAAAATAACTTGGGTCATTTGCTCTGATTATTAACACTGAAGTATTATGTAATAGTTGCACTGCTACATGGTTTTAGATACGGCAAGAATGCTGCAGGTGTTGGACCACGAATTCCCATCAAACATTTGGCGTTACTTTTGTTTTGATTTTGTTTTTTTGTTTTTTTGTTTTTTTTCTTGACAGAAATAAAAATGTTACTGCTTGGACTTCAAGCACGCACTGTCATTACATTTTTACATTTTTTTTTTATATTTGCGAAGAAATGCTACATGTGTATATACAAATGTATGATGTTCTACAGGCAGCCCATACACTCTCTAATGCTGTATATATGTGCCATTGGACAACTTACTCACAGCAGCAGTAGAAGTGTTTTGGCTGGAATTGAATTTTTTTATGCAAGGACAGACTTTTGTTTTTAGTAATACTTAATTCTGTCACAACTCAAGTGAGAAATGTAAATACTGAATCCTAATATGAAGCAAATATGTGCTATAACTGATGATTATCTCCGTTATCAATTACTCTGCTGATTATTTTCAGGACTAATTGTCTGGTTGATAAAATGTCAAAATCATTTATCATTTCCTAAATCTTAGCTTGATGTCTTCAAATTATTGTTTTATTTGACTGGCAGCCCAAATCCACGTATGTATATTCAGTTAAATGTGACATAAGACAAAGAAAACAAGAATTACTTTCATTCGAAGAGGTAGGAATAGTTTGTTTGTTTTTTAAGTTCAAAAATTAAAGAGTAAAAATGCATTAACATTTGAGGAAATGTTAGTTATTATTGTCTTTTTATTAACTTAAAAATATAATTTGTCGAAACTTTTCATACAGCTGTGTGAACGTTCTTGAACGCATCTTGTAAAATGTCGACACCTAGCGACTTACCGCGGAAAGGCAGACGGCAGAGTAAATAAAAACATATCGGTCGATTCACACCTATTATTGCTTAAAACACTATAAGTAAAAAATGAAAAGTAAAACTGAGTAAATAAAAACTCAGATTGATCAGTCTGACTGTCAATTCACCTCTGACGTAGGGTTGCAGCTCTTTCCCCGACCAATCAGAGATCGTTCACGTCAAAACACTTCCGCTCTGCTCTCCAGCTTGTCTTTTCAGTGGAGTGGCCGGTGTGAGCAGAAGTCTGAACCGTGAACTCAACGTAGCCCAAAGGCGAAGGACAGATATAAAGGTACTAAATGAGGATGTCCCTCAGCTGAATAGCTTTCGGGTGTTTGTAATGAGTGGGAAAGGCAGACAGGACTCTATGTTCAGTGAGATATTATGGCTAACAGCTGGGAGTGGTTCCAATTAGCTTCTAGCTAACGTTAGCGTGCTGTATTTGAATGAGCATATGACTACACGTTTTTAGTGGAGCTACCTACTGACTAAAAACCCAGGCTGGTGTTGGTACAGATAAGCATGCCCCGGGAAGGTTATTTTGACAATGGTGTCAACGAACTTGTTCTAACTCTTGCAGATGCCCCCAAAAAAGGGAGAAGCACCAAAACAGGCTCCATTAATTGGACGATTTGGCACATCCTTGAAAATTGGAATCGTGGGATTACCTAATGTTGGGTATGTACATGTTACTGGCAACGTGGATGTTAGGATATAAACAAATGTTCAGCTCATCATTCAGGGCTGATTTTTGCAATACACTCGACCCTCTCCTCACTCTCCTCTGCAGGAAATCCACATTTTTCAACGTGCTGACCAAAAGCCAAGCTGCTGCAGAGAACTTCCCATTCTGCACAATTGACCCAAATGAGAGCAGGGTACCTGTTCCTGATGAGCGCTTTGATTTCCTCTGCCAGTACCACAAACCAGCCAGGTGTGTGTCATGAGTCATGACTCAACTCAACTCAACTTTATTATTTATACAGCACTCAAGACACAACATCAAAGTCATTTACAACACACACACAGGAAAGCAACAAATGAAAGGAAACAAAACACAATAGAAGAAAAAGTATAATATTTTATTAATACATTGGTAGATATTAATATTGCTGTTATAATTATTATTATTAGCGTTATCATCATCACCTACCATTGTCATTACAAAGTCATACAATGCACATAGAGGCAACACAGACCAATGGAGGCAAGCATAAATACCTGAGCGGGTCTAACAAGAAACAAAGCCTAACAAGTAAATGTGCATTTTAAGATTCTTAAAAATCTCAGTAGAAGAGGAGAATCATATGGTGGGATGAAGCTATAGAGACAGTATGTTGCGAGTGTGATCTGTGTCACATTATGCCATATCACTGACTATCCCTCCTTTTCTGTATTCTTTTTTGTTTTTTTTTTTTGCATCTCTAGTAAGGTTCCTGCCTTCCTCAATGTTGTGGACATTGCTGGTCTGGTGAAGGGAGCTCACTCAGGACAGGGACTTGGAAATGCCTTCCTCTCCCACATCAGTGCTTGCGACGGCATCTTCCACATGACCCGTGAGTTGTCATTACTATTGCCCGCTGCAGCTGCTGTGTAGCAACAACTGAGTTCAGTGGACAGGTGTTAGGAGGGCGAGTTAGAGTCATTGCTGCATTTTTTAAAAGGGAACAAGGCCCATCTTGACTGACTGCAGTGTGTCAATAGCACAGTTTATTAAATTGTCAAATATGGAGGGTTGGCTTTGAATGTCAGGTTAAATTTGTTATTTAGTTAACTTGTTCTTTGATCAGATAGTTCCTGATTTAAATAAAATGTTAAAATTTTAGACAATTTTATTTGTGTATGGCCTCTTGTTTGTTGACAAGGTTTAGCATTTAACAACTTTGGCTTCTTTTGTTAAATATTAAAAAAGGGGTTGTGGATGTATTCATAAAATGTAGTAGTTGGTATTGATGCAGGAACCTTAAAAAAATTTCAAACAATATCCAGCCCTACTTTTTCCTGAAGCTAGACATTAGATTTAAAAGCCTTTTTCATTTCTGATCAGCCTGGCATGTCAAGTCAGAGGCTGGGAGAGGTGCTAAATTGATTTTTTTCAGACCAATATGAAGTTTATATGGTAGCATTTCTAGAATATAGGTTTTACCTAGCCCAACTGAAATCTCAGAGGTCAACAAAAATCAGTATCCCATTCATTGTTCATGAGTTTCATCAATTTATAGCTTAAGGAAAGGCTTCCTTGTTCGTAAATACTGACTCAACTGTTCAGGGTGTGGAAATAACAAAGTAGATTTTGTTAATGAGTGAAATTGACCTATAACACCAATAAAGGCCCTCTGTTTTCAACATGTGTAAATATTTATAACATCCATCAATGCTTGTGTGTTTTAGGTGCTTTTGATGATGAGGATATTATCCACGTGGAGGGTAACGTTGACCCAGTGAGGGACATCGAAATCATCCACGAGGAGCTGCGACTAAAAGATGAGGAAATGATCGCTCCAATTATTGACAAACTGGAGAAAACCGCAGTGAGAGGAGGGGACAAAAAACTCAAACCTGAATATGTAAGTAAAGTGTGTTGGTGGGAGCACATCTGTTGTCCTGTTTCACATTTGTGTCATCATTGGGAAGGTAATAGGAAATCACAATCTGTCATCAACCTTACCTGCTGCTTCTTGCTTCAGGATATCATATTGAAGGTAAAGAACTGGGTGGTGGACGAGAAGAAACACGTCAGATTCTACCATGACTGGAATGACAAAGAGGTAGAGTGTGTGTGTCGGTGTGCTTAAATATATTTGTGTCTAATCTTGTTGTGGCTAGTGTGCCTACAATGTGTGCAGAAATGTAATTTATTACTGGGCCTCTGTATGGATCAAACACAATGCATTTTCAGTTTATATTAATAATTGGAAAAGGTGTTTGTTTTTTTTGCCTTATTGCATCTAGTAATATGTATCTGTTTTTTCTTTTTGACAAAGTCCTGCCATTTTCTGTCATTTGATTTTTAATGCACACATTTAAATGCAAACCCAGTGATTGGTGTAATTTTCACATCAAATCAGGGGTAAGATGCACATTATCTGAGCAGCAGGATTTCCTGACAAAATATCTGAAAAGGCTTTCTGAGAACTAAACTATTTTCAAACTCATGATTTATATGTTTTTAATTTCTCTCCACAGATTGAGGTGTTGAACAAATACCTGTTTCTGACATCCAAGCCCATGATCTACCTGGTGAATCTCTCGGAGAAAGATTACATCAGAAAAAAGAACAAGTGGTAGGTTTTTTTTTCACTTGCTATTATTATCCTTTGCAACTTTATGTCCCATACATTATTTGTTCGTGTATTTAACTGCAGTTGAGCATTCAGAAAAGCTGACACGCTTGTTTTCTATAAAAAAAAAAAAAAAGGTTGGTAAAAATCAAGGAGTGGATAGATGCTCATGATCCTGGTGCTCTGGTCATTCCCCTGAGTGGAGCTCTGGAGTCCAAGCTGCTGGACATGGAAGATGAAGAGGAGAGGAATAAGTACTGCGAGGAAATGAAGACACAGAGGTGAGCCATACACACCCATAATGTGGCAGGAATCTATTTGATCAGGTTCAGATTATTATTGATTAGTCTTGTTTTTACTTTTATGATGAAATATTCAGTCTATAAAATGGTGAGAAATGCTCTTCATCATTTTCCAGAGCCCAAAGTAATGTGTTCTCATTGGTTTTTTCATCTGATGGTTCAGTAGCCTGAAATACAATGATAGTTGTTTTTACAAGTACATAAAAGCAGCAAATCCTCACATACAACCAGGAAATATTAAAGAAGCGAATTACGTGATAAATTTCTTAAATGATAGATACATTATCAAAATTATAATGAATTGATTTTCTGTCCATTGTAAAATTGATCAGCACTAAAGCCAAGTATATCAAATTCTTTTGAATAAACTGAAGTAAACCAACTTCTAAATATCTGACAGTGCCTCACATTCAGTGTAATGGGATTGTTACTGCTGACAGGTAAATATTATTTTGAGTCCACTGCATAAATCAGTAGGCCTTTTTTTCACAGTAAACATTTTGACATGTCACAGCAGGAGATTCATAGTGAGCTCTATTAATGAAGACTTTCCAGAGAACTGGTATACCTAATACCTGGGGCTTGCCAAATTTACATGCCATCATAAATGGCAGGTCCAAGTGTTTGCAGTTCAGAAGGCCTTTGAATCAAATGAAAACACTGAATAACTGAATAAATCTTTATTGTGTAAATCTGTTAAGCATAAAATGAGATGATTAAATACTCATGCAATTGTTAAAAGAACTGAACTGTATTTGATTAAATAAACTACAGATTTGGGGCTTTAATTGCTGAATGTACCTTGCAAAGATACATTTTTGCTTGAACTGCTCCATCATGGATAATCATCTTTGGTTCTCTTTCTCTCTCTTTTTTTTAAATTTTTTTTTAAGTGTTCTGACCAAAATAATAAAGACCGGCTATTCAGCACTGCAGCTGGAATACTTCTTCACAGCAGGACCAGATGAGGTGCGAGCGTGGACCGTCAGGGTGAGTGTTGTGACATGAATAACTCTTCTTCACAGTTCATTATTATCTTCGTTCCTCGTGGATTAACTGCTCGACTAATGGATTTATTTTAAAAACCTCTCTATTGTTATTTAAAATGTGTCATTTTAATATATTTTTTGAAAACTAAGTTCACATTTTTATTAGCTATTTAGGCAACTCTTTACTTTAAGCCCACTATTTAGCGTTCATAAGCAGTATATAACATTAAATAAACTGTAACTACATTATAGTGTGTTTATAACATACTATAAGTGTTTACTAATGTATTTGTCAACAACTTCATCTCCTCCTGTGGACACCCATATGTGGAGGCTGCTGTATAAACAGATAATGAATGATAATAAAGTAAAACACAGTTGTAATAATATGAAATATGTATATTCTTTGGAGAAGTAATAATTGTTGAAAAATACTTTATAATAATTAATACTTATACATGCTAAATAAGGGGACTTGTATCAATATATCTCATATAGTAAGTGCCAACATAATTAAATGTGAATATTACACATTTAATAGATAAGAAATTCATTATTACTCTACCTATCTACGATAAAGGTCTTCAAGAAGTGGTAGTGTGTTGATATGTTTGCAGTCATGTTTTTGAGATTTTCTGTTCTGTTTTGCTTCAACAGAAAGGTTCCAAGGCTCCTCAAGCTGCAGGAAAGATCCACACTGACTTTGAGAAAGGCTTTATCATGGCCGAGGTGATGAAATACAGTGACTTCAAAGAGGAGGGCAGTGAAAATGCAGTCAAGGTGTGTATTTGTATAGAGCCTAATTATAAGCTAGAACTGCCACAATGTTGATCTTCTGTCTATATATATATATGTTGATTTTCTGAGAAATGTCATTTGAATTGGCTTTAAATTTTTCCCCTCTCATCTTCATCCCCTTTCTCAGGCTGCTGGGAAATACAGGCAACAGGGCAGGAACTACATCGTGGAGGATGGGGACATTATCTTTTTCAAATTCAACACACCAAATGCCCCTAAAAAGAAATGAGACCATGCAATCACCAGAGGGAGAACTCAGAATACTGTTCAGTCCGGCCCCTGAGAGCTACACTGTCTGCTGGCTTTCATACTTCTCTCTTCATTTCAGAGGATCAACATGCAGCCTGGTCGACCAGAGATATTTACTCACCTGGCCTGGTCTGGAGCAGAATCTATCAAAATGATTCTGTATAATATGAATTCTATACAAACACACCATACATTCCTATATTTAAGAATATGAACAAATTTTGAAATGGTACCAACTGCACTGCCAGTCAAACATTGTTGAACACACTCACAGTCAAGAAGAGGTGTGACTGTAATGAAAAATATATACCTTTTGATTTTTAGTGGATATTGTCTAATCGGGAACCTGTAACAGAATTCAAACTGCATACTCTTGTAATTGATGAAAGCACTGTACACAGCAGGGATTGTCCTGTTTTCTAGATGCTCAAAGACACTTAAAAGGTTTAATTTGTCTTTTTTCCCCCAATTTATCTTTAGACAAAGTTTCATTCCCCTGTGTAATAAGAGTTTATCTCTGCAGTCATTAATTGACACTTACATCCATAATGACTGCTGATTAATTGGCAAGCTCTGAGATCCCCAATGAGTCTCTTAATTAGTGTTTTATTAAAGGCAGGTGTGCTGGATCATTAACCGGCTTCTGTATCTTTAAAACATGTAAACAGTGTTGGCATGAATTAGAGTATGATACAGCAGTCTGCTACAGGTGCCTCATTATAGTTAATAAAAGCTTCATGGCTCCTGGCTTGGTCTTTTGCCTAAAATCAAAAGACATGAACTTTTCTCAGTTCCTTCTTACATTTTGCTTAGTTAAACTTTATTAATTTTATGCTATTAACAACAAAGTCATAAGGCCTAAAACCTATTGAGAAATGCTAAAATATACAGTGTCTATAATCATTTGACTGGCAGTGTGTTTACTTTTAAGAGAGCGTGAAAGCCATCACTGTGTTTAACTCCAGGCTAGTACTGTGCTGTAATCTGAGCAGGAGGGTTATTGTTATTTTAGAAAGAGCAAAGCAGGCATCCCTGATGGTGCCTGATCAGATGCCTGAACAAAGAATGTTGTTATACACACTGCTTTTATTGACTTAAGTTTGGGCTTGTAAAAAACAAAAAACAAAAAAAAAACAGACTCCTCACATTAAGATCTCTACCCTGCGTAATGAGACAATGCTTCATTGTGAATCCGGACAGCTACAGGAGTGCTCTGTGCATCATCTGGACTGTACAGCTTCAAAATATATCAGGTTTCACTTCTCCTCACTGCCCTCCAAAGTGTGAGTGTCTTTATTTTTGAGAATACTGACTGTCCCCTTACCAAACATTTTGCCAAAGTGTGGACATAGAACTAAATCGAGGTACATAGGAGGAAGATGTTAAAGGGAGCTATGTCTAATAAATGTCATCCTCATCAATCTGCATGTGTCAATAAAAGGAGAGAAACCTGTCATTGCTTTGTGTATTTCTAATTTCTATCCATGTTAAAGGCTAAAGTTGCAACATAAAGAAATTAGGTACACTGTAATGTGCAGGAATATGGACCCTAGAGTGTAATTTTAGGCTTTTACAATTAATAACTTGATACAATTGAAACAAGATATTGTAGAATTGTAAATTTAATAACTGAGGTTGCCTTTTAAATGATGCAATAATAAGCAATAAGTAAAGGTGTTATTTAACTATTCGAAACTGTCTAAAGCAATCACAAAACGTTGAAGCAGGAAAAAAAAAGGAAATTCATTATATTTCAACTTGTTTTTTCTGTCTTTGTTGACAGAAAAATGTCTAATTCATTTTTAACCTGGTATCACAGCCTTTAACAGAATTAGATTTGGCCAAAGGTGTAGTTTCGGTCTCAAGGATGCAACAACCCTGCCACCCCGCCAGCATATAAGATCTGAATTTACATTCAGAACAGTAAATTTAATATACAGTAGGTACATGTGTTGAATCTCCTTATAAAAAGTCATAAATACGACATAATATAGTAAGGTCTAAAAAGTAATATAAACCAGTCATAAAAACAACATAGTACATAGTAAGGTCTGAAAAGTCAAAAACGACATAGTATAATAAGGCAAAAAAAGTCAAACACTTAATAGTATATTTAGATATAAAAACGACATAGGCATAAAAATGTCATAGTATAGTAAGGCCTAAAAAGTCAGAAAAATGTCATAGTATAGTAAGGCCTAAAAAGTCATGAGGCAAAAAAAGTCATAAAAACCATAGTATAGTAAGGCATAAAAAGTCAAAAGGCAAAAAAAGTCATATTACAGTAAGGCATAAAAAGTCATAAAAACGTCATGGTAGAGTAGGGAAAAAAAGTCTTAAAAAAAGTCATATTACAGTAAAGCATAAAAAGTCATAAAAACGACATAGTATAATAAGGCGTAAAAAGTCCTAAAAATGTCATATGACAGTAAGGTATAAAAAGTCATAAAAACATCATAGTATAGTATGGCCAAAAAGTCATCAGGCAAAGAAAGTCCTAAAAATGTCATATGACAGTAAGGTATAAAAAGTCATAAAAACATCATAGTATAGTATGGCCAAAAAGTCATCAGGCAAAGAAAGTCCTAAAAATGTCATATGACAGTAAGGTATAAAAAGTCATAAAAACATCATAGTATAGTATGGCCAAAAAGTCATCAGGCAAAGAAAGTCCTAAAAATGTCATATGACAGTAAGGTATAAAAAGTCATAAAAACATCATAGTATAGTATGGCCAAAAAGTCATCAGGCAAAGAAAGTCCTAAAAATGTCATATGACAGTAAGGTATAAAAAGTCATAAAAACATCATAGTATAGTATGGCCAAAAAGTCATCAGGCAAAGAAAGTCCTAAAAATGTCATATGACAGTAAGGTATAAAAAGTCATAAAAACATCATAGTATAGTATGGCCAAAAAGTCATCAGGCAAAGAAAGTCCTAAAAATGTCATATGACAGTAAGGTATAAAAAGTCATAAAAACATCATAGTATAGTATGGCCAAAAAGTCATCAGGCAAAGAAAGTCCTAAAAATGTCATATGACAGTAAGGTATAAAAAGTCATAAAAACATCATAGTATAGTATGGCCAAAAAGTCATCAGGCAAAGAAAGTCCTAAAAATGTCATATGACAGTAAGGTATAAAAAGTCATAAAAACATCATAGTATAGTATGGCCAAAAAGTCATCAGGCAAAGAAAGTCCTAAAAATGTCATATGACAGTAAGGTATAAAAAGTCATAAAAACATCATAGTATAGTATGGCCAAAAAGTCATCAGGCAAAGAAAGTCCTAAAAATGTCATATGACAGTAAGGTATAAAAAGTCATAAAAACATCATAGTATAGTATGGCCAAAAAGTCATCAGGCAAAGAAAGTCCTAAAAATGTCATATGACAGTAAGGTATAAAAAGTCATAAAAACATCATAGTATAGTATGGCCAAAAAGTCATCAGGCAAAGAAAGTCCTAAAAATGTCATATGACAGTAAGGTATAAAAAGTCATAAAAACATCATAGTATAGTATGGCCAAAAAGTCATCAGGCAAAGAAAGTCCTAAAAATGTCATATGACAGTAAGGTATAAAAAGTCATAAAAACATCATAGTATAGTATGGCCAAAAAGTCATCAGGCAAAGAAAGTCCTAAAAATGTCATATGACAGTAAGGTATAAAAAGTCATAAAAACATCATAGTATAGTATGGCCAAAAAGTCATCAGGCAAAGAAAGTCCTAAAAATGTCATATGACAGTAAGGTATAAAAAGTCATAAAAACATCATAGTATAGTATGGCCAAAAAGTCATCAGGCAAAGAAAGTCCTAAAAATGTCATATGACAGTAAGGTATAAAAAGTCATAAAAACATCATAGTATAGTATGGCCAAAAAGTCATCAGGCAAAGAAAGTCCTAAAAATGTCATATGACAGTAAGGTATAAAAAGTCATAAAAACATCATAGTATAGTATGGCCAAAAAGTCATCAGGCAAAGAAAGTCCTAAAAATGTCATATGACAGTAAGGTATAAAAAGTCATAAAAACATCATAGTATAGTATGGCCAAAAAGTCATCAGGCAAAGAAAGTCCTAAAAATGTCATATGACAGTAAGGTATAAAAAGTCATAAAAACATCATAGTATAGTATGGCCAAAAAGTCATCAGGCAAAGAAAGTCCTAAAAATGTCATATGACAGTAAGGTATAAAAAGTCATAAAAACATCATAGTATAGTATGGCCAAAAAGTCATCAGGCAAAGAAAGTCCTAAAAATGTCATATGACAGTAAGGTATAAAAAGTCATAAAAACATCATAGTATAGTATGGCCAAAAAGTCATCAGGCAAAGAAAGTCCTAAAAATGTCATATGACAGTAAGGTATAAAAAGTCATAAAAACATCATAGTATAGTATGGCCAAAAAGTCATCAGGCAAAGAAAGTCCTAAAAATGTCATATGACAGTAAGGTATAAAAAGTCATAAAAACATCATAGTATAGTATGGCCAAAAAGTCATCAGGCAAAGAAAGTCCTAAAAATGTCATATGACAGTAAGGTATAAAAAGTCATAAAAACATCATAGTATAGTATGGCCAAAAAGTCATCAGGCAAAGAAAGTCCTAAAAATGTCATATGACAGTAAGGTATAAAAAGTCATAAAAACATCATAGTATAGTATGGCCAAAAAGTCATCAGGCAAAGAAAGTCCTAAAAATGTCATATGACAGTAAGGTATAAAAAGTCATAAAAACATCATAGTATAGTATGGCCAAAAAGTCATCAGGCAAAAAAAGTCCTAAAAATGTCATATGACAGTAAGGTATAAAAAGTCATAAAAACGTCATAGTATAGTAAGACATAAAAAGTCAAAAGGCAAAAAAAGTCTTAAAAAAGTCATATTCCAGTAAAGCATAAAAAGTCATAAAAATGACATAGTATAGTAAGGCGTAAAAAGTCATAAAAACGTCATAGTATAGTAAGGCATAAAAAGTCAAAAGGCAAAAAAGGTCTTAAAAAAGTCATATTACAGTAAGGCATAAAAAGTCATAAAAACGTCATAGTATAGTATGGCAAAAAAAGTGTTAAAAAAGTCATACTACAGTAAGATATAAAAAGTCATAAAAACATCATAGTATAGTAAGGCATAAAAAGTCATGAATATGACATACTATAGTAAGGCAAAAAAAAAGTCATATACCAGTAAGGCATAAAGTCATAAAAACGTCATATGACAATAAGGCATAAAAAGTCATGAATAAGACATAGTATAGTAAGGCAAAAAAAGTCAGAAAAATGTCATAGTATAGTAAGGCCTAAAAAGTCATAAGGCAAAAAAAGTCATAAAAACGTCATAGTATAGTAAGGCCTAAAAAGTCATGAGGGAAAAACGTCATTAAAATGTCATACTATAGTAAGGCATAAAAAGTCAAAAGGCAAAAAAGGTCTTAAAAAAGTCATATTACAGTAAGGCAAAAAAAGTGTTAAAAAAGTCATATTACAGTAAGGTATAAAAAGTCATAAAAACATCATAGTATAGTAAGGCATAAAAAGTCAAAAGGCAAAAAAAGTAAAAAAAATGTCATATTACAGTAAGGCATAAAAAGTCATAAAAACGACATAGTATAGCAAGGCGTAAAAAGTCATAAAAATGTCATAGTATAGTAAGGCATAAAAAGTCAAAAGGCAAAAAAGGTCTTAAAAAAGTCATATTACAGTAAGGTATAAAAAGTCATAAAAGCATCATAGTATAGTAAGGCATAAAAAGTCATGAATACAACATAGTATAGTAAGGCAAAAAAAGTCATAAAAATGTCATAGTATAGTAAGGCCTAAAAAGTCATAAAGCAAAAATAGTCATAAAAACGTCATATTACAGTAAGGCAAAAAAAGTGTTAAAAAAGTCAGGTATAAAAAGTTGAAAACATCATAGTATAGTATGGCAAAAAAGTCATAAGGCAAAAAAAGTCTTAAAAAAATCATATGACAGTAAGGTATAAAAAGTCATAAAAACGTCATAGTATAGTAAGGCAAAAAAAAGTCATAAAAACGTCATAGTATAGTAAGGCAAAAAAAAGTCATAAAAATGTCATAGTATAGTAAGTCCTAAAAAGTCATAACGCAAAAAAAGTCATAAAAACGTCATAGTATAGTAAGGCAAAAAAAAGTCATAAAAATGTCATAGTATAGTAAGTCCTAAAAAGTCATAACGCAAAAAAAGTCATAAAAACGTCATAGTATAGTAAGGCATAAAAAGATATAAAAGCGTCATATTACAGTAAAGCATAAAAAGTCATAAAAACTACATAGTATAGTAAGGCAAAAAAAAAGTCATAAGGCAAAATAAGTCTTAAAAAGTAATTACAGTAAGGCATAATAAGTCAAAAATGGCATGGTATAGTAAGGCATAAAAAGTCATGAATACGACATAGTATTGTAAAGTATAGTATAGTAATGCCTAAAAAGTCATAAGGCAAAAAAAGTCATAAAAACGTCATTGGATAGTTAGGCCTAAAAAGTAGTAATAAAAACTTCATAGTATAGTAAGGCAAAAAAAGTCGTAAAAAAAAGTCATATTACAGTAAGACAAAAAAAGCCATTAACACAACATAGTATAGTAAGTCATAAAAACGTCATAGTATAGAAAGGCAAAAGAAAGGCATAAAAAGATATAAAAAAGTCATATTACAGTAAAGCATAAAAAGTCATAAAAATGACATAGTAAAGTAAGGCAAAAAAAGTCATAAAAATGTCATAGTATAGTAAGGCCTAAAAAGTCATGAGGGAAAAAAGTCATAAAAACGTCATACTACAGTAAGGCATAAAAAGTCAAAAGGCAAAAAAGGTCTTAAAAAAGTCATATTACAGTAAGGCATAAAAAGTCATGAATGCGACATAGTATAGTAAGGCCTAAAAAGTCATAAGGCAAAAAAAGTCATAAAAACAACATTAAAAAGTAAGGCATAAAAATGTAATAGTATAGTAAAGCCTGAAAAGTGCTAAAAATGCCATAGCATAGTAAGGCCTAAAAAGTCATAAATACAACATAGAATAGTACGGCATGAAAAGTTATAAAAACATCATAGAACCGGGACCAGGCTGGGAGGGGAATCTCTTCCCAGGTTTCTTATGTTAGGTGTGGGGTTAGAGATTACAGGTAGTTTAGTTATTGCTTTCGTTTTGGTTTAGGTTAGTCTGAGTAGGCAGGTTAGAGGGGAGTCGCTGAGTCATGAAAACGACAGTATAATAAGGACTTAAAAGTCATAAAAATGTCATAGTATAGTAAGTCATAAAAAGTCATTAAAAACAACATAGTATACTAAGGCCTTAAAAGTCTTAAAAGTCACAAATATATATATATATAGGGGCCCTAAGCAGCTTAGTTCGCTTATGCCTAGTGCTGGCCTTGCTCCCACATCCTCTCAACAACTACTTACTACTACTATTTACTGGATTACTTTCAACTGTCTTACATTGTCTTCATCATGAACACACATTAAGTTTGTTGGATGTGTTCATAGAACCATAGCTGTTCAAAATTTGTATTGTGAGCAAACGGCAACTGTGGATAGAAGCTAATGATCAAAAGAACAAGGGTAAGTGAACCATTAAGTGAAGATTTTATTTTGAATGTTAATTTAAAATTAAATTCATGTTATAAATTGGTAATTTATAGTTTCACATCATATTGTGACACAGTATTCTCATAGCATTATCCTCAAAACGACAAATGAAAAACTATCTTTGATTTTTCGCTTGTAAATACCATCAGATCAGACAAAATTAGTGCTGATGAAGTAACTTTGAGATTTGCAAGGAACTTTTGGGTTATGTGGCAATAAGGACACGAAATAAACTGTTGCAACTAGCTGTAACTTAGTAAAGGGCTGTAATATTTTTTGATTGTAGTATAATGTAGGCCAGCTGCCGAATATAAAGTGAACCAAACTTTAAAAACTGAAGTGTTATGGCACCAAGAAACCCCACTGTATACAAATAACAACGACAGAGCAGGATGAATAACTTTATTTGGCATTAAATGGTAAAGTAAAGTGTGTACTTTCGACATAGACATCGCCGTTTTCCAAGTACCTCTGCTCTGATTCCCAACAACTGCATTCCTCCTCTCGTCTCTCTCAACAACAAACAGGAAACACACGTCCTATAAAAAGAATGATTGACACTCCGGTTAGCCACTGACGTCTAGCCGTGACTCACGCTCAGCCAATCGCATCAGAGAAGAAGGGCGGGACGTCCTGTAATGTGATGCAAATTGGACGGTCAAGCGTGTTGGTCCCACCTTTTTGTGTTTCCCGCACCGTCAATCAAAATAGAAAAAAAATCGACCCGAATTCACCGATCAACACTAGCCCGCCTTTGATAAAACAATCATGTTCGGAGTTTAGTTGATCAGATAATCCTCCCGCTTACTACCATTCACGCTATGACTGGTACGTAAACATTTAGCGCATCGAAGCGTGCAACTAATCGGTGAGTTTGTGCAGAAAACAGCGAAACAAGCTGCGTCTTTTTATCTTTTGCTCTGCTGCTAACTGGCTAGATATGGTTAGCTAACTGAGCTAGCAGGCTAGCCACGGAGTTGACAAAGTAAACAGTCAATCTGGGCCGGAATCGCCCCAGATTCTCCGCTGCAAAGTTGAATTTCGCAGTCAGCTCCTTTTGGACTGGAGAGTGGGGATGCTTTGCGGGCTTTTCTGGCAGGCAGGAGTTGAAGATTACAGAGTTTTGCTGAGTTTCCCCCTCTCTCCCTGCTAGCGCTAGAGCAGCCTCTGAAACAAGGAGAAATGGCGTCCGCGGACGTGGACAGCAGTCAAAGCGAGTTTCTGCAACCCGGCGGCGCAGCGGAAACACAGGTATCCGACATTTTCTAGCTCGTCTTTCTCGCTCGCTTTCGATTGCTGGTTGTGTTTTTGAGAGCATGAAGTTCACACGTTTTAAAATTTTGATGGCATGGGGTGAAAGCCGTACACTTCCTGTGTTCCCCTCAATAACGGCCACCCACTTTACCCCTGTAAAACCCGCCCATAGTGGGTAGGACACTGAAGTCAGTCACTTGGGTCGGCTCGCTGGAAGATAGCCGGTGTACCTTGGGCTTGGAGGATGCAAGGCTGTGCTAATGTGGCAGGGATAGCGTCCATAATCAAAACAGTAGCGTTCAATTGTGTTGTAATAGCCACCCATCCCCCACACCTTGCTCTCGACCATTTCTGAGCCTGTTATCTTCACTCTGCGTGTTGGTGGTTGCATACAGCTTGTGCTTGGTTTATCGTCTATACTGCGTGATCACCCACTGCCTATGATTTACTCTATATTTGATGTTTCAGCATAGTATCTGCAACCATAACTGATTTTCAGACAATAGCAGGCCTGCCTGCCTCCCTTTTCCTGTGATCTAATCTGAAGCTGAGATGAATCACTGTCTTCTTGTAGAAGTGTAATCTCTCTTTGCTAATCAGTGTTAATTTTACTCCCAGACAACAGATATGTCAGCCATTCAGCTGACAGGTTCAGACCGATGGGAGGTATTAACTCCTGTCTCAACTGGGAAAGAAGACCAGGGAGTTGTTCACATTCCAAACTCGGGAATTGTCACGTCCAACGGGCAGTATGTGCTTCCAATTGGGAGTCTTCCCAGCCAACCCATTTATGTTACTGCATCTGGGAATGAGGCTACAGCCAATGGAGTGTCAGGCATCCAGTATCAGGTAAAAGGAGAAAGAGACATGTTTAAGATACGGTAGGTGTTTTGTTCAGGTGGTGAACTTGCTTAAAACTGCCACTCCTTTGTCCAGGTCATTCCCCAAATCCAAAATGCAGATGGGACACTTGCAGGATTCCCAACACAGGGGTTGGATGATGGCACGGGGCAGATCCAGCTACTCCAAGATGGCAGCCAGGGCAGCATCGGGATCAGTTGTGCCACGACGGCGACCACAGACCTCCTGACACAGGCGGGGCAAGTACAGTCAATCCAAGGTGTCCCGCTGGCTGGGGGTACAGCATACACCAGCACAGTACCTGTAGGGCTCCCTAGCAACATAACATTCGTCCCAATAAACAGTGTGGATCTAGAGTCACTAGGGCTCACCGGAGCGCAGACGGTTCCCATTGCAACTGGGGTAACAGCTGAAGGCCAGCTGATCATGAGTGGCCAGACGCTGGAAAGTCAGGGTCAGGATGCTGGCAACAAACAGTCGCTGGTGACGGTGAGCGGCGCCAACCAAGAGCTCTATGTGTCAACCACCACGACCACTTCCTCCTCAAACTCCTCCCAACTCCCCGAAACAATTGATGGCACTGGAGTTCTGACACAAGCAACTGCTGTGTCTGCAGGCGTGTCTGATCCCTCCTCAGAGAACTTCAACTCCCACAACCACCTGCAGCAAATCCAGGTGAGTGCCTTTAACACCATATCATGTGTTATATGTGTCAAGCCTGTATGCTGCAAGGCAGTGGCTCCCAGTCTGGAGGTCAGGACCCTGTCAAGTGATATATATATTCTATGACAAAAATTGTCTTTATTTTTTCCGACCATTCCCTAATTTTTGTTTATTTTGCTTGGATACTTTCACCACTTGAGGCCTTTAAAATCCTTCATCCAAGCAATGAGCAGGAAAAATCTATCTTTGGTCCACAGTAAAGCCATAAATAGTGACATAAGGCTGGATATTTGACCTCATTACTTTTTGTTACTGTCACAAATATGTTGGTAGCACATAGTATTGAAAACCAAAAGATACTGAAAGCTGTCATTGACTGTTTGCTCAGATTTCTAGTCTTGTTTTCTACCTGAAAACAAAAATAATTTAGTTCCAATTTTGGGCAGTATTAGTTTGGAGAAGTTCTTGTACAGCTGCCTGTGCTTTTTTTAGTTCAATGAAAAAAGGGTATGGTATAAAAACACGATAATATCCCTCAAAGTAAATGTTGTTTTGGTATTGGCGTTAAAACTCAGGAATCAATACTTGTATAAAAAAAATATCAAATGATACCCAGCCCTAGTCATGACAGGTCAGCTACTTTTTTTAGCTACTAAGCTACTTTTTCAGCTTTTGAGTGTAATTTATTTTTTTCTGTTCCCTTTATCCTGCAGGTGTCATCCTCTAATGCCACTACTATCTCGCAACCAATCCTGCAGCTGTCTGGGGACAATCAGGCCCAGGTAGCCCAGGTGGCTCCAGGTCAGGACCTGACTGCAGCAGGTCAGACTCTACAGAGCGTGCAGCTGGTCAACCCTGGGACCTTCCTCATCCAGGCCCAAACTGTAACGGCTACAGGACAGATCCAGTGGCAGACTTTCCAGGTAAGCTATAAGAAGTGTGTAGGAAGTTTATTCATGTTTCAAAGCAGTAAAGTTGCCTACAGGAATTCCTTATGGGCGTCATTTAAATATTATGTAGTGTTCTTGTGCTGTAAATTGTCGTTTTACTAAAGTATATCCGATCTCTTGCTAGGTTCAGGGTGTCCAGTCACTCCAAGGGCTCCAGCTGCCCCAGGGCCAGGGTCAGGCACAACAGTTGACTTTAGCCCCGGTTCAGACCCTCCCTCTGGGCCAGGCAGGACAGGTCAGCCTGCCCAATCTCCAGACTGTCACAGTCAACTCTGTAACACAAAGCGGAGTTCAGTACACACATGGAGAGGATGCAAACAGTCCAGCTGGTATGGGATACCTGTACATACTCAACTTTCACACACATTTTTATTTGCTAATCTTAAATCACTGATCATTAATCATTGAAACCCATGATAAATCTGCACTGCTTCTTTTGTCCCTGTATCAGGTATACAGATAAAAGAGGAGCCAGACTCTGAGGAGTGGCAGCTGAGCGGAGACTCCACGCTGAACCCCAGCGACCTTAACAACCTGCGTGTTCAGATGGGAGACGAGGACATGGAGACGCCGAGCGGGGAGGGCAAGAGACTCCGCAGAGTAGCCTGCACCTGCCCCAACTGCAAAGAGTCTGGAGGAAGGTGGGGAAAACGCTAAAAAAAAAAAAAAATAATAAAAAAAATGATATGCAACGATGATAAAAAAAAAAGTCATAAAACTGAAGGATATCCTAAAACTTCAATAAGCATCATAATTACAGTAATACAAAATTATATTACCACCATATTATCCAGGCTTTTTCAGCTATAGCCAATTTTTGTACAACTATAAAATCCATTTTGATGACACATTTCTGCAATACAACTATAACACCCAGATGTTATTCATTGGAGTGGCTATTTAATGTCTCAAAACCTCAAATTAGCGTATCCTTCTTCATTCTTTTATTGTTTCAAAACTTGTGTTTAACTTTTGTTTGTTTAAGTTATTAAACTGGTTGTTCATGGGGCAATAAAAATTCACATTTCCATGCAAATTTATATTTGCATGAAAAAACATTCATGCAAATACAAAATGCAAATCTTTTGCCTAATGCTTTATCAGCACAGGGATGTAGGATTATTATTTTTTCTATCATTTGGCAGTGTTTGCATTCCTTTGTCTTTTTAAATAGCATTTTCAGGCCTTGCATTCTTTTTTTTTTGTTTCATTTTGCCATTTGTGTCAACCTGGATCATCCAGTATTTGTATCCTCTACTCATTCCATATTTTCCCTTTGTGTCACAGAGGTTCAGGCATGGGGAAGAAGAAGCAGCACATCTGCCACATCGCCGGCTGCGGGAAGGTTTACGGGAAGACGTCCCATCTCCGAGCTCACCTGCGCTGGCACAGCGGGGAGAGACCCTTCGTCTGCAACTGGATGTTCTGCGGAAAGAGGTTCACCAGGAGCGACGAGCTGCAGAGACACAGGAGGACACACACAGGTGAGACCAAGCCCACATAAGTCTTGTCAGTTATAAACACAGTTATACAGGCAACCCTGTTTATTTTTAGTACTGGCTGTTTTTATTTCCAATTGTTTTATTGTCTGAAAAGTGGATGAGCTTGGAGCTAGCTTTCAGTGGTAAACCAGGAACATGCATTCAACTTGGATGAGTGACAAGTTTGTACACGTTGAATCGCTGTTTCCTTACCAATGATACAAACCATAAAGGAATAATTTAGTTTTTCGGACATGTTCCTGTTGTTAGACCTTGCAGTTAAAACAACGGATACCGAAATATTTTCATGTTCCTAGTAGATTTTTGTCTGCAGCTGTCCATGTCATTGTTTTTGATTACACAATGTTCCGTGAAAAGAGGTGTCGAGCAGGATCTCGAAAGTGAGAAAATGAAAACTTGCAGCTGCTCCAAAGCTTAAAGCTGAGACATTTTGAATGATGTACAGCCAAGTAAGTGGCAGTTTTATGAAGGCAGTAACAATAGGCAATAACCTTGTCGTTACTTGAATTAAATCAGCAATTCTAAGTCAGTTTTTGCCTCTGTTAGTCTCTGATAAGTATTTATTATTTTTGACTTTATACTTAATGATGATAGTTGAGAATCATAAACACAAACTGTCCTTACACTTTACTGTCCACACAGTGTTTTCTCCTGAATTACTGTAGAAAAAAAGCAAGGGATGATTGTGTTCTTTGTCACAAATTATTGCTCAGTGTCTTCAAATGTTGGTGCTGTACCTGTGCCGCGGTGTAGAGTTCAGTTTAGAAATAAGAAGATAAAGGGTGGTAATGTTTTTTCTAATTTTACTGCAGGTTTTTAAAAAGTTTAAAAGAGCATTGACTTCAGTTTCCTTAAAAAGCCCTAAGTTTTAAAAAAAAAGCCTTAAATATTTTCTCTTGCCTGTCATAGTTAGTAACAGTAGTAACATTTTTTTGTGGCTTTCGAGTCGATGTGATGTGAAATGTCAGCAATTTCATATACTTAAAATAATTGTAGGCCTATTTGTCTCTACTGGCAAACGTACTGGTTACTGGTTTAACCTACTGGTTTTGCACACTTGTCTGATGTTTTTGTTTTCTTGATGTCACAGGAGAGAAGAAGTTTGTGTGCACAGAGTGCTCCAAGAGGTTTATGCGGAGCGACCACCTGGCCAAGCACATAAAGACTCACCAGAATAAAAAAGGCGGGGTTCCCTCGTCCACATCTCCGCCCACCACCGATGCCGTCATCACTACGGACGGAACCACGCTCATCCTCCAGACCGCCACTACCCACGACCTCGTAGCCAATCAGGAGATCCCTTTGCAGTTGGTCACTGTGGCACCCGGTGAGGTCATGGAATGAGGGGGTGAATGGGGCGAGTTGGCTTTTTTGAGAACTGGCCTACCACAGGGACCTCTTGGGCTCTTCTCTTCCCCTCTTACCTTTTTTTTGTTTTGTTTTTTACATATGAATATATACGTAAATATATATGACAAATATATATATTTTAAGTAAGAGTTATCATGACTTTGTTTGTTTTTTGCAGTCTTTTTATAGGCCGGCAAAAAAAAAAACATTAAAATGTGGTTGCTATGTACACGCGTAAACACACTCACTCACTCTCTCACTCTCACACACACATACACACACTCTCACACACACAAACATGCATTAACACTCAAAAAAAAAACACACAACATGAATACTCAACACAATGAAATGCCTTATTTTGTATCATACTCTTGTATAAAATGCTGGAGGTGCATGTGTTTTTTAAGCTTTGCAGATGATGTTAACTGTAAGAAATGTTTGTAAAATGGAGAAGATAATGATGAGGAGGCGTTTTTGGAAGAATGAAAACGAAGTAGTGAACCTCTCTGGGATTATTGAGTTTGTGTCTCTGGAGAGTTCTGACAAGCTCTCTGTTTGAAGCTGCGCAACATCCACGCTGAACTGTTGCACTGCTGCTGCCAGGAACAAATGCTTTTGCTTTTAGAGGAATTGTTTGTCATTTTGGTGAAAACACGCTTATTCGTTTTCTTGCCCAGAGTTAGATGAGAAGAGGGGTAGCGCTCTCATGTTTGTGCAGTAAATATGGAGCTACCACCAGTGGCTGGTTAGCTTAGCCTAGCATAACGACTGGAGATAGGGAAACAGCCTGGCTCTGTCCAAAGGTAACAGAATCTACCTCTCATTACCTCTGAAGCTCATCAGTTTACATGTATCATGTTTGTTTAATCTGTACAAAGACTCGTGTAAAAACAACGATTCATTTCATGGAGGGTTATTCTTGCCAGGCAGCCAGTGTGGGACATTACTGCTTCCAGCTAAGAAATAATCCGGTACATAACCTTCCTGGAAAAATGGCAGATTGATGTTTTTACACCTCAGTTTTTGTATATCTTAAACAAACAAAATACAGCGTGTTAATTCATGAACTTTTGAGGTGCTGGTAGGTGGATTTGGTTACCTTTGGACAGAGCTAGGCTCGCTGTTTTCCCTGTTTCCCATCTAGTTCTTGGCAAGGAAGTGAATAAGCTTTTTTCCTGAAATGTCAAACTTTTCCTTTGCAGCAGCTGTCGCCCAATCATTGACAGCCAACAGGATGGTGACGCTGATGTCTTGCCATGCTGTTTCAAACAGAGCAGGAGGTTCAGCTGGTTAGAGAAAAGGACGTCAGTGCCACTGTTTACTGATCTGAAGTTGTTTTCCCACCTTGAGAGGGGGGAAATAGATGCAAGCCGCTCTGAAAAAGGGCAACTTCTTCCAGCATCTGGTCAGTCTGAACAGAATGTCTCATCTGTCCTCACGAGCACACCGTCCGCTGTGCTTATCCACATCAAAACACGTCTTTACTTTACTTTCTTTTTGCATATTTTTGTTGTAAATTTGCATTGTATTTCAGTTTTCCTGTGTTTCTTCGCCGATCTGGGTGTCATATAAATGAAAGCCACGTGATGGTGATCATAGATTTTAAAAAGTAGAGTGGTTACCTCTGAATTCCTGCAGGGCTTTTCGTTGTCAATGTAAGCTGCACATGGCTGCAGGAGGAGAACATGCACCAGTGTTGCCATGTGAAGAAAACTGAGAAACGGATGCAACAAATCAGCAAGCCCTCAAGGGCATTTTTGTCATCGAACATTCCAGTCGGACACCAGATGATGTGGGATTAGTTTTGCAATAACTGCTCCGTTGGTAATTCTGGCCAGATGTCACTCAAGTCAAAAGGAAAACAATCATGCCATTGTTTGTTATTTTTCCTTTTTTTTTTTTTTTTTTTAAATTTTAATTAATGTAATCTCTTCCTCTGTTTGTCTGTTATGTTTGTAGCATTCATTTACATGTATATTATCTTATTTTCACATTGTTTATAGAAGCCATTACTTAGTTAACTGAATTTGTTGTATCAAGACCTTATTTTAAGTGATTTTTTTAAAGAATTGGTGTAAAAACTGAATGTTACCTTTTGTAAAACATTTTTTCAAATGGATCACAATAAAAGTCTGAAACCTTCCAGTGACAGGTTTTGTGTTTTGGGGGTAACATCAAGGTATCTTACTCACAAATTGTCAACTGCTCTGTTTGCTTGCTAACTACATTTTGAACTTTCAATTCAAACAAGTGGTGTTCAGGTGTAATAACAGAGTTCATAAGTAAAAAAAAAAAAAATCAACCTAAGTCGTAACGTACGAAACGGATAAAATACTCTGGACCATTTCTTTATTGGGGATTTTTATTTAACAAAAATATCTTACAGCCAAAACAGGATGTTAATGACAAATCCATGGATGATACCAAGATACAGAAAATCAAATATTTTTCAGCCAAACTTCAATGTCATGGCTGCTCTTCCCTTACAGTACCATAAACTAAACCAGATAACAACCTCTCCCCTTTCTTCCAATTCATACGTAACGCTGCAACCTGCACAGGCTTCGGACGTCCTTCCCTGAGAGTCACAGTGGCATTAATATTCCACAAGAAACTGGAGAATCGATCAAGCCTGCTGATTTTGTTCTTAATTTTATGCTAAATACCAGATGATGATGAGTGTAAACATCATTACCATTAATTTCTGAATTCCAATCACATTCCCTTAAAGTGTTAAGTTTAGATTGGGCACAAAGCATCTTCTATAGCTTGAGGTGATTCTTAAGAAATATGAACAGTGGCTCCACCACTGCACAAAATAATGTATATGTAGCTGTATCAATAATTTTCCAGACTTACTATGCTTTTTCTAAATGTCTCAAGTGGGACTAGGCAGAAATGTTAGATTTTATTTACGAAATAATTCAAGGTAAACTGTACTAAAAAGTCATGGGATCATAGTTCACTGTATGTCAGTTTGATTATTTTCTTTTATTTTGCATTCATTTGCTATGTTGATTAAAAAATCTTATTAATGTCATCATATTGACTGACAAAGATTTGGCCCAGATGTTTGGTTTGTCAGAAACTCAAGTTAACCAGCAGTGAGATTTTTCTGTTCACCTCCCTTTGTGCTTCGACCACAGCCAGAACCAGAATCCCAATCAGTGCAAACTTACAGACTGACATCTATTACAGGGGAAAGAAAAACTATACTGAAAGAAAAAATAGAATTCATATTTATGATTCGCTTCACAAAATACATTCTCACAGTCACCACTTGCACACACACGCATACAGAAAAGCCTCTTACACCTGACCACTAAAATTCCCCATCGTACACATTATATAAAAAGAACAAAACAGAACATTATTTTAACCATCTAGCACTGATTGTGGTCATTCAGCAGTCCCCAAGGCATAAGAGGAACTTCTCTTCATGAAGCGGACTCTTTAAACAGAGTCCAGTTCACCGCCTCATCACAGCCACAGCAGGATCCTCACAACTCTATGTGAACATCTGACAGAGAGACGAAGAAGATGAAAATTTATCGACTTGATTTATATGGACTTGGCACACAAATTTTGTTCTCATAATTTCTACTTGAGCATGTATTAAACCTGCATGTGTGTCTGTCAGTGTTGAGTACCTGTGCCCTGCTGCTTTGTTTTGTGGCTTGCTCCCCCCTGGACTCTGGTCTGCAGACGTTTAATCTCTTGGTCATAATCGGTCCACTCGGCCACGATCCTCACAGCAGCCTGCAGCTTGGGCTCCTTGGTCATGGGGTTGTTACACTGAAATCAGGAAAAATGAAAAGAATTGGATGAAATAATTAACTATGATTTCTGTCCTTACTATTACTTTACTATTGCAATTATTTTATTTTATTTCTACAAAGGACGTAACACTTATTTAGAATATCAAACACTATTTACCCAAATACTACTCTAAAGTAAGTCAATTATTTCCTCACAATTGGCCTGTCTGCCCTCTAGTGGCTGTTAAGAGTCATTGCATATGTAACAAATCCAATCAGTCCTCCCTGGATCTCACTCCCTGCATCTCTTATTTGAGCACTTTATCCTGTTACTATCCCTGACGTCTACACACACACACACCATACACACACATACAGACACATACAGACAAACTTTTGTTACCAGATCTATTGTTTTGGCGCTCTTCTTGGAGCTGTCGTCACACCAGGTCTCACACCACAGCCACTCCTGAGGCAGAGACTTGATGGGCACCTGGTGGATCATGTTGTTGGGCAGATCCTGAAAAAACAATGAAAAGCGAGACCTGTGAGAGAGGCAGGGGCAGAAACTAATATTTTATACGTCAAAGCTGTAGATTCATTAATGACTGATTTTGTTTTTTTCAAACATTTAACATTATGACATAAAGGTTCGGCAATAATGTACATGTAAGCGTGGGAAGAAGCATCTGTTTAATGAACACTTCCCAGTCTGCATCGTCACAATCTGCTGCTTTTATGTTTGTTGTCAGTCGTGTGGTAATGCAGGCACAATCAAGGATGTGTTCAAGGACATAAGGGAGTCCCACATGTAAAAAGTCAGCTGCTAAACAGTGTTGAAATCACAATATTGTCATAAAAGCATAACCATAAGAGAAAAAACAATAAGTAAACAGTGTTTGTTATGAAAATATAAGATGAATTTAGTAGTTTCTTTGAGGGTGCTGTTCAACAACCAACTCTCACATCTCTAATTACAGAGCTTCTTTGAACACAACGGAAAGTTTTCACTGCAGTGCCTTCTAGCAACCACACAGTCACAACGTTGACAAAAAATCAAAAGCAACAAGAAGTTCTTTGTGATAGTTTTAGGAGTTTCATAAAACTGAAATGAATGGAAACTACTGGAAACTGGAATACTGGTATTAAATTAGTCATTAATAATGTTATGCTATGGAAAACTGTTAGTGATAATGTCAGCTGTATTACATAAAACATGAACTACACCATGTAAGATACTTTGCAATGCAAGGTGACAAAAACTGTCTTAGTGTTCAGAATCAGATCTCCAAGGCGCTTTAAAATGAAAAGATGGACAGTCACAGACCTGGTCCAGGTTGGAAAGGCTG